AAAAACACATGAAAAGATGCTCAACATCACTCATTATCAGAGAAATGCAAATCAAAACCACAATGAGGTACCATTACACGCCAGTCAGGATGGCTGCTATCCAAAAGTCTAGAAGCCTTATTTTCAATAGCCCAGATCCAACGCCGCCAACCAGATGGAGGAGGATAGAACTAGAGCTCTTTCAAAGCCTCATTCCCAAGAGGTCATCACCTGACTCATCTGCTGGTTTTCTCAAAGACCTCACTTACAAAGCTAGCTGTATCTGACTCAACTTGGAGTCCATTCAGTGCAAGAAGTCTTCTCACAGAACTTCTGGCAATAAGTTCTCACTTCCTGGCTCTCTGAGCAGTGGATAATATTTGGGGCAAATGATTGTTGTCTGTCAGCTATTAAGCTAATCAATAGAGACTTCAGTGTCCACACACAACAAAGAATTCAGACTTTACACAGAATTAGTTTAGAAAAATCACTAAGCAAACAAGCATAATAAGCGGCAACAATAACAAAACTTGGAGAATGGGGAGAACCTGATCCCGAGTTGCCATGTTGTATTACAGTATTTTATCTCGCTTTTGGGGGAGAAGGGGGGACACAGCATGTGGCTTGTGGAATCTCAGTTCCCTAACCAGGGACTGAACCCAGGCCATGTGGTAAAAGCCTGGAATCCTAACCACTAGGCCATCAGGGAACTCTATATTATTTTAAATGTGCAATTTTCAATAAAAGGTAAGACATGCAAATAAACAGGAAAGTATGGCCCATAAAATGAGGAGGAGGCAAGAAATCAATAAAAACTTTCCCTGAAGAAGCCCAGGTGTTGGCTCTGCTTGACAAAGACTTTAAATCAGCTATTTTAAACATGTCTAAAATAAACCACTTCTAAAGAACTAAAGCAAAGTATGAGAATAGGGGGAAAAAAGAAAATTCACTGGAGGGGTTCAACAAATGATTTGAGCAGGCAGAAGAAAGAACTAGAAGACTTGAAGATAGGTCAAGTGAAATTATTCAGCCTGAGGAGCAGAAAGAAAATATAAACTATAATGAACCTTCCAATTTCCACTCAAAATGTAAAGAGTTTGGGAACTGTCATCCTCAAAACAAGAAAACAATCAGAACCAATTGAAAACCAACAAATCTTCTTAAGTCAACAAGAGAATTGAAGTCACAGGGAAAATGGCCACCCCTCCCCCCCATGGGCTTCCCTTTGGCTCAGCTGGTAAAGAATCCGCCTGCAATGCAGGAGACCTGGGTTTGATCCCTGGGTTGGGAAGATCCCCTGGAGAAGGGAAAGGCTACCCACTCCAGTATTCTGGCCTGGAGAATTCAGTCCATGGGGTCACAAAGAGTCAGACACAACTGAGCGACATTCACTCACTTCACTCCCAAAAAAAGCTGAGAGGCTGGTGAATACAGAGAATCATAGCATTCGGCATACCAGGAGCAGAAGCCACTGCTGGAACCAGCAACGGGTAGTAACACTTAAATAGTAATTGAGGAATTGCTGGAGAGTCAATAAGGACTAGCTTAAGAAAAAAAAAAAAAATCCCCTGGGGTCTCAGCTTTGGTTTTAGTGAAGGCGGGCACTCTTTCATGAGTTTTACCTCTAGGAGATCAATTAGGTTTTTATGGTGAACACAAAAAAAAACCCTCATGTTTTTGGTCTCCAATGACACCATTGTGGAGGTGTCTTTGTTACTGCTGGGAGATAGTAAAAATCCTCAGTTTCCTCTAGGCTTCCTCTGACACCACCCGAGCAGTTAGGTGGAGTAGTGTTTCATATCCACCAGGTGAGAGTGGGAGTCCAGAGTTCCAAGGTCTCCACTGATACCACAGAGAATAGGAAGAGGTGTTACTACCTAGGGATGAAAGTCTCAGCTCTACTCAGCCTTCTCTGGCACTAACATGGAGACAGGGGCTTGGGAAGTCTCTTTACAGCCTGGTGGAGTGGAAGTCCAGTTTCTCCACGCAGTCTCTGCTGGGGGAGGGGAGTTGTGAGGAGATGGGGAGGAGTAGGGCCATAGTTTTTTCTGTGGTATTTGGCTGGAATACTGTCTTTTTAGGCTGCTTGTTTCCTACTCCTTTGGATAGAAACATAGGCTTTTGTTGGGCTTTTTTGTCTGCCCCCCAATGGTGTTTGCAGGTTGCCAGCTTCTTCAGCTCCAAGTCTGGAAATGTGAGGAAAAAACAAAATCCAGGGGACATACCACCACGTTTCCTTGAATCTCAAAGGTTACTAGCTAGTCTGTTTTCTTCTCTCCGTCTTTCAGAGTCTTGCTTTACACGTTCAGGGTTTAGTCGCACAGTTAATACAAAACATAAGGTACCAAGACAGCATATTAAAAAGCAGACATTACTTTGCCAACAAATGTCCATCTAGTCAATGCTATGGTTTTTCCAGTAGCATTGGTTTTTCACATCTGTGGATGTGAGAGTTGGACTATAAAGAAAGCTGAGCACCAAAGAATTGATGCTTTTGAACTGAGCTGTTGGAGAATACTCTTGAGAGTCCCTTGGACAGCAAGGAGATCCAACCAGTCCATCCTAAAGGAAACCAGTCCTGAAAATTCATTGGCAGGATGGATGTTGAAGCTGAAATTCCAAAACTTTGGTCACCTGATGCGAAGAGCTGACTCACTGGAAAAGACCCTGATGCTGGGAAAGATTGAAGGCAGGAGAAGGGGACGACAGAGGATGAGATGGTTGGATGGCANCATTGGAAAAGACCCTGATGCTGGGAGGGATTGGGGGCAGGAGGAGAAGGGGACGACAGAGGATGAGATGGCTGGATGGCATCACTGACTTGATGGACATGAGTTTGAGTAAGCTCTGGGAGTTGGTAGTGGACAGGGACAGCCTGGCGTGCTGCAATTCATGGGGTTGCAAAGAGTCGGACAAGACTGAGTGACTGAACAGAACTGAACTGAAGGTTTTTCAGCTCCTGCTTTAACTTTAAACAAACATTTAAGTAAAGGAAACTATTATGCTCACCCTCACTGAACCCAATACTTTGAATTAAATTAACTGTGGGTTTCCTTTCTTCTCACTCAAAAATGCTTTATTTTTCCAAGTATTTTTTTCCTACTCCTTCCTGTTGAAGCAGCAATGATTCTGAGGTGAACAGTCTTGAATGAGCTAAGTCATGATTAAGGACACAGGCTATGTTGACTTTCCTTACAGAGCTGATCGCTTCATCTCTTGGTTTCCTTCTAATCCTGTGGTTACTTGATGACTCTGTACATTGAAAGTGTTTTTTTCAAGGTGCGAATTTTCTGAGGAACAAACTCTGGATCCCCCAAGTATCCGAAAGAGTCTAGAACCCATCAGTTGCTAGCATGTGTCACGGACAATGACTCAAACATCAATTTTATCAATCGAGTAACAATTTACCCCACCTGAGCCTCTAAATTCAGACACAGAAATAAATGAAGACATACCCATTTACCCCAGGAAAACTGCACAAAATTCAAAATGTGTTTCCATAAAGATTCTGAAACACAGTGGCACTCATTTGTCGAGAACTTGTCTACTTTTGCTGTCAATGTAAAACAGCAGCCTCGAGTAGTGTCAACAGAAAATGGCCTACTAAAGTTTAAAAATTTATTTAGTTTGGTTCAGTTCAGTTGCTCAATTGTGTCTGACTCTTTGCGACCCCATGGACTACAGCACACCAGGCCTCCCTGTCCATCACCAACTCCTGAAACATACTCAAACTCATGTCCATAGAGTCGGTGATGCCATCCAACCATCTCATCCTCTGTTGTCCCTTTCTCCTCCTGCCTTCAATCTTTCCCAGCATCAGGGTCTTTTCCAATGAGTCAGTTCTTCACATTAGGTTGCCGAAGTACTGGAGTTTCAGCTTCAGCATCAGTCCTTCCAGTGAATATGCAGGACTGATTTCCTTTAGAATGGACTGGTTGGATCTCCTTGCAGTTCAAGGGACTCTCAAGACTCTTCTCCTATATCACAGTTCAGAAAAATTTATTATGTGGCTCTTTACAGAAAGCTTGTCAATCTCTGATGGAACATCAGATGCATCCTCTCATCAGATTGTTACATCTCCTTTAACTTCTGTCCCAAGTCTCAAGGTGAATAATATAAAAACTTTTAAAATAAAAAAATAAAAGGTACATCACAAGAAAAGGATACAAGTCAAAGAAATATTTTTCATAATTGCATATTTACTGAAAAATACATCAGAATAATGTAAATGTGACTTTCTAAAGCAAGTGAAGAAATAAAAAAAAATATACTTCAACTGACATGCTAAAAAAAATAAAAAACCTCCTCGGCGAAAGAAATAAAAACCATAAAGATATTTGTTCCCGGCATTTCCAGGTTAGATTTCTTCACACAAATGAACTGTGGCAGGGGTGGCAAAAAAGAGCTCACCTGTAACTGGTGAAATGCCACAATATTATTCTGTAAGGCTCCATAAATTATCTAACAACTAAAGAGGTAGGAAATACTAGATTTTTCAGGATTATCTTCTTCCAAACTCTGTTACATGCTTCTTGTGTCAATGTCATTGTTTTCAGTATTTTGCTTCAACACCCTTGCGATATATTTTTTACAATTAGATTTGTGGAGTTTTATTCTAAGACCATGCTGCTACTGCTATTTAGACCCTAAGTCCCATCGGAGTCTATGTGACCACATGGACTATAGCCTGCCAGGATCCTCTGTCCATGGGATCCTCCAGGCAAGAATATAGAAATGGGTTGCCATTTCCTTCTCCAGGGGATCTTCCCAACCGAGCAATGAACCCGAGTCTCTTGCTTGGCAGGTGGATTCTTTACCACTGAGTCACCTCTACGGTCCACTTTTTTCACAAGGTAGGGCTGACAGAAAGGGGCAGAAAGGCATCATAGGTTTAACTATCCCCCGGGCATCTGAAAAGTTCCATCCAATACCATTTTTCAGCACCAAAATTTAAAGGCCCTTCAGGTCCAGCTCAGATTCTACAGCTCCACAAGAGACCCAAGGCCGCCTTCCTAATCTCTCCTCCCGGGCCTGGAGTGCAGACCAGTGGGGCAAGCCCCTTTCGGGCCCTTGTCTTTCTCCACTTTCCATCCGACCCGGTGGGGCCCGATCCTGGGCCCCAGGGGACACGAGAGGGGTCCGGATCAGCTGAAAGGATGACGTCCCAGGGCCCCAAACCTTCTCTAGAAATTCGCCCCGGCCCCACAGCTGCGGGGTACGCCGTCCAAACCTCCTCGGCGAAAGCCGCACTGCGGGCACCCACCTGATACCCTCGGAGGAGAGTGCGTGTGGGAGCTGGGTGAGGAGTGAGAAGGAGACTCCACGGCCCGCCCGCGCAGTTCCCGGCCCCCCGCACCACAACCGCCATCAGCAAAAACTATCGGCGTCCACTCCAGAGACACACAGGGTCGAGAAGAGGTCCTTCAGATCTCGAGAGCAACGAACACCACACCGAACTCAAGATGGACTCTCCTCATTGGGCCAACCAAACACGGTCAGCCCAGCAAAAGGGGAGCGTCACCACCTGCTTCAGCTCTAGGGGTAACGTTGAATAACCGCTGCGTTCCCGCGCGCTCTGCACCGCGCCTGCGCAAATCCCAGGGTTGCACTAGGCTGCCAGTGCGCATGCGCCGCCCTCCAGCTCTTTCCCCAGTGCCTTGGGAACCCCGCCAACTAAACTGGCCGGCACGCGCATGCGTGTTTACGGAAGCTGGTGTCTTCCCGAAGCCGCCTGGAAACCACGGCTCTCAGGTTTGCTGCCGGCCGAGCCGGAAGTTGCCTTTAACCGTCCTTGGTCTGGCGAAAATTAAACAGCTATAAAGAGAGGTTCCGGAGCCGACCTGGTCCGTAGGTGGCCGAATGGAGACCGAGACTGTACACGCGCCATTGACCCGGCGCCCGACCCTGGCCTCTTCCTGGGATGTCGCGTGCGGAGCCTTGGCCCAGAGTCTCCGTCTCACCCGGGCTGGTCTCGGCGCCGGAGACGCCGACTGGGAGGAGCTGCTGGCGCCGCCCGCCGCACGGTGCGCTGGGCCGGCGGGGACTGGGTTGTGCTCGGGGACACAGCCGCGCTCCTGTGGGAGCCGCGAGGGGAGGCGGGGACCATGAGGGGAGAAGGTCTGCGCCCGAAATGCGGGAGCCGAGCGGGTGACGGGGCTGTGCGGGAGGCGAAGGCGAGACGGCCGGGCCGGGGTGTCGGGAGGACAGAGGGTCGTCCGCGGGAAAGCTGAGGGGACTCAGGTGTGAATGTTGGGGACGGGGGTGGGGGGGGAGGGCAGGTGAGCGGGAGACAGCGTTTCACACACACCCTCCTTGAGTCCATCTCGTTGGCTCCTGAGGCCCCTTGTCGGGATCAGAACCGGCCTCTTATTCTGAAACAAAAACCTCCTGTCTACCAAAATAGGCATTAAAAAAAAATCCAAATGTCGAAAATCTTCATAAACTTGATTTTAAAAGTGGCACACTTTGGTCCTTTATTCCATTCTGCACCCCCAGTCACACACACACACACACACACACACCCCCCCCCCCCCCCCCCTTATTTTAAATTTCATGCTAGCCGCCCAGTAAATATATTTCATTAACTGGGCAGGCAATTACAGGAAGTCGCATACAATGTTGATATAAGTCAAGGGAAAATACTGGAGACCCTCGCGTCTAAAGCATCATTTCCTCATGATTTCTGTATTGAACATTTATTTGGTCAGTGTTTTGGAGTGCACTTGGACTCCAAATGCAGACGTAAGTGAACTAGATAATATGTCAACCCTGTGGCCCATTAACTGGTTAATGACAATGTTCAGAGAACTATAGGTATATTCTTCATTTTCTTTTCAGCCAGGACTTGGTGATTTTGCAAAGGAACCTGAACAGCCAAGATGAAAACCCCTGCTTCCTTCACCTGAGATGTGACCCTCATGGAGGTGAAGAAATCGTTTCTATTGGCATTTTAAGTTCAGCAAGAAATATGGAAGTATACTTAGGAGAGGAGTACTGTGGAACCAGTAGGGGCAAGAATGTTTGTAATGGTCTGGATAACAGGTGTGTGACTTCTGCATGTGCAAGTGTTCTTCTGAAGTGTTTCATTTTTTTGAGCTTTTGCAGTATTTGTTGATTCTCTGACATTGGTGCTAAACACTAGAAGAGAGAAGATAAAAACATACCAGCAGAGGTAGAAGTTTAGGCCTTTAGGGATCTTAAAGACAATCTAGAGCAGCCTAATTGTTTTTATAAATGTGGAAATGGAGAGCAAATGGAAGAGAGAGAAGTTGGTAAAATATCATAGCTAGTTAGTGGAAGAGTTTTATTAGCATGAAACTCTGCTAAGTGTTTCACATTTGTTTTCTTAAGGACAGTGTAGATCAGCCTAGTTGGGAGTATGAATGTGGAAATGGAGAGCTAATGGAAGGTAGAGAAGTCGGTAAAAGATCATAGCTAGTTTGGGGAAACGCTTGATGAAAATGAAGTTCTGATAAGTTTCTTATTTGTTTTCTCTAACTCACAAGGAATCTGTTTTCCAAAAATCACTTTGTCAGTCAGCCTGGAACTTTGAACATTTTCTTGTAGGATGCCGTTACCAAATAGAGCATGAGCTCAAGACTGTGCCATCCTGGCAAGCTTAACCCATTATTAGACTTTTTAATTTTTTTCCCCCCAATTTCTTATGAAGATTCTGTTCTAATCATTCTTTAATATAAATCAAAGTATGAGCTGCTTTATGTACTATGTATGTTGTGCATGACANTGTCTTCAGCATGAACAATATTGTTAAGGTGAAGTTTACTGATGTCATTGGGTGTAGGGAAAGGGTATAGAGCTGGAAACCATAAGCCCTGGCTGTTAAGTAGGTTCTTTTGCTGACTAGCAGAGTAACCTTGAGCCAGTTTCTTCATTTTGTTTGGACCTACTTTATGGGTAATATTAGAGAAGTGAAGAAAATAAATTATTGAATTGATTATTTTTAACTCTAAAATTCTGTGCTGATTATTACAGAAGAGCAAAGATGTTGTTTAGGTGTATATACTAATAGCTTCTAAAGTTGTTTAAATAAGGTGATTCATTCATCCACACATATTGGAATGCCTATTAATAACAGCTATGGTACTTGACATTTAGGAATTAGCAGTTATGAAATAAATTAGAATGAAGCCATCACACTGCTAATATTATAGTGGGCAAGACAGATAATAAGTTGATTCAGTGTGGAAAATAGGCACCACATTCACTCCTGAGAAAGGTTTGGGGATTAAAAAGCAGAGCAGGAGTAATATGGAAGTTGAAATGTGGGTGTATACATTTCATGAGGTATTTACTCACTTGCTGATAACAGTCACATCTTTGGTGCCACACTGTTTTTAGATCATGGACCTCTATTCACCTGTGTCTTTGTGTGATGTATGGGTTTGTTGTCTCTGGAGATGAATGGGGTTTGTAACTGTGTTTTGGAAGTACCAGGGAGTGCTTTCCACTTTGCTACTTTGCAGTCCTACAGCACACAGGAAACATTTTGATTTAGAAGCATGAATAAAATGAGGCAGCATAAAGCATTGGAAAAGCTCCTGGGAGAGAAGTCAGAAGAATTAGGCTCAAAGATTGACCTTTATTTACTCTCTTGACAAATTAGAAAGTCATATTAACTCATCTTTTCTATGTGCAAACTATTGAGCTCTAACTCATCTTTTCTATGTGCAAACTATTGAGCTCTAACTCATCTTTTTTATGTGCAAACTATTCAGCTTTAACTCATCTGGACATTCTCTTAGAATTCCTTTAGAATTTATTCTAAATTGTAAAATACTGAACTGTATTAACTATCAGCCAACACTTTGCATGGACTTCTAGTGAGTCTTATTTAATATCAAGTAATATTATGGCAAGTTTCAGTATGTTAAGTACTCAGATTGGAATAGTTTATCTTTAATTCCTTAAACTACTAAGTAAAACATTATTTACACTTAATTCTTTTAGTTGTAAAAAGACTTTTTAAAGTTGATGTAGTTCTTTTTAGCTTTCTTCAGTGACTAGAGAAACTTTAAAATATACTTGAGGTTAATTTTTAGACTTTTGAATGCTTCAGTCTTACTTCAATATTGACAAGAAATGACCTTAAATAATGGTTGTTTTTATTACTATTAATTTTCCTGGTCTTCTCTGTTATAATAGCTGCTCTCCTTTGGTGAAAAGAACTGTGTGTTCATCAGTAAAGTTGTGGTGCACATGAGGCCAGTCTCGGCACATTCTTCAGCAGGCTCTCCTGCTCTAGGATCAAAGATAGACCTGGAGAGGGTCCAAACTATCATGGAGTCCATGGGGTCAAAGTTATCACCTGGAGCTCAGCAGTTGATGAATATGGTGAGATTACAGCAGCAGGTGAGTACGAATGGATTTCTTTCCAGAAACCATTACAATTCTTTAAATGATAGCACTTTATTACAACATGTGGTAACATAAATTTTTTCCTTTTAGCTTTTATTATTACTGATTTCCCTGTTGTCTTTGCTTACTTATGTAAAAATTGCATCTTGTTAAAAAAAATGGTTTTTACAGCCTTCACAATTGTCTGTGAATTCTCTAGCTCATTCATTCAGCAAGCATTTACTTAGCCCCTTTTTCATGAATAATGCACTGTTTTGATTACTTTAGAAAGTTCTAAGGTGAATGAGCCTACAGCCTGTCTTTAAGGATTTCTATAAACTTAATAGGGAACTCAGGGCATGTAAGTGGGGAGTGTTGAGAAAGACTAGGAAAGGCTTATTAAAGGAAGTGGCATTTTATCTGGGCCTTTAAAGAGAAAGGGTGGGATTAAGCAAGTGAATTTGGAGGGACACAACTTAAGAAATGACGCTGTGAAAGTGCTGCACTCAATATGCCAGCAAATTTGGAAAACTCAGCAGTGGCCACAGGACTGGAAAAGGTCAGTTTTCATTCCAGTTCCAAAGAAAGGCAATGCCAAAGAATGCTCAAACTACCACACAATTGCACTCATCTCACACACTAGTAAAGTAATGCTTAAAATTCTCCAAGCCAGACTTCAGCAATACGTGAACTGTGAACTTNCTGTGTTATTTCTCGTTCAGATGGGGGTTAAGGAGAGTCTAAACCTGAAGGAGGAACCTAGTGCTGGGTGTGAGATGCTACAACAGTGGAACCATTGGGACTTGACAATAACTTAGTATGGGGTTTTGGGGAGAAAAATAGAATCAAACGTGAAACCAAGCTTTTGAAGATGGTGATGCCAATAATACACAAGGAACACAAGGGAGGGAGTGACTTGGGGGGGGAAAGTAGTTTAATTTGGGAGTATTGAGTTTTCTATGTGAATACCACATTCCCTGGGGTGACGTTGTAAGCCTTTGGAAACACAGAGGGGTGGGAGCATCCCTAGTAGATGACAGGGAAGGTGATGAAGGGAGAGACCAGAGCCAGGAAGGAAGACCCTGGGCAAGCAACTGCATTTGCTCAGAGCACAGGGAGAGGGGCGAGGAGCCAGAGTACAGGAGCCACTGTTTAGAGCAGCAGAGATGTGATGTTAGGAGACCTGAATTCAACAGTGTTAGTTCTGTTTTATTTAGCATTGCGTCCTCTATTTAAGGATACATTTCTTCATGTTTACAATCTAAAAGGTAATTGTTTACAATCTAGCAATGCTGCTGAGATCATAGGATGAATGTGAAAGTTTAAATCAAATAATACAAACTAAAAAGTCATATAACTTCTGTGAGATTTGCCATCATTAATTTAGTAGGAGTATCATTGGAGGGACGGGCAGACATAGGAGAACAGGAGAGCTGGTGATGATCTTGGAAACCTCGGAAAGGAGAGCTTCCAAAAGCACAGAGTCCGTCCTCTTCGTACTCTGGTCCAGTGATCTCGCCCGCATAGCTCAGGCGGTTCCTAACGGGTGCTCCTGGTCCAGTGCTCCCTCTCCACAGAGCAGCCAGAATGATCTCAGAGGGTCCGTCAGACACGACCTCCCCCGTGTAATGTCCCGAACTGCTTCCCCTCACACCAGAGTCAATCCAGATTCCTCACCCTGTCATCTCAGATCTGGGCCGTCGTTCCCACCTCAACACCATCTCCTGTCGCATCTGCTCAGATGCTCGTCTCTAGACATTCTGAGGTGTGTGTTCCCCAAATATCCACCTGGGCTCCCACCTCAGGACCTCTGCACTCTTAACTGTTCTCTTTGGCCAGAATCCCCTCTTCTTGATGTTAGCAAGTCTGCTCTTTTCTTGTTCTTTGAGCCTTATCTTAAATGTTCCCTCTTGAGTGAGACCGTCCCTAACCACCCTATTTAAAATAATTAGCCTCTTCATCCTAATCTCTATCATATTTTCATCAGAGCTTTCTTGACTATTTTTGTTTTTGTTCATGTGTTGTTCTGTTTATCTCACTAATACATAAACTTCATGCAAATAGGACCTGGCTCTCTTGTTTATGGCTCCAGGTAAGTACATAATATATATGCCCTTCAGATTATCAACAGGTACTCCTTGGAGATCTTCAGGGAGTTGGTTTGAATAGTGATAAGCTGAAAGTGTTTAGTTGCTCAGTCACGTTCACCTCTTTGCGATCTCATGGACTATAGCCCACCAGGCTCCTCTGTCCATGGAATTCTCCAGGCAAGAAAACTGGAGTGGGTTGCCAATCCCTTCTCCGGGGATCTTCCCCACCTAGGGATCGAACCCAGGTCTCCCACATTGTGTGCAGATTCTTTTCTGGGTGAGCTACCAGGTTAGGAGATAAGATGTAAAGGGTCACGTGAGCTCTGTAACTATCTGTTGAATATAAAGTAGGAATACTTCATGATCAGAACCGATGGATGGAGTGTAATGACACACACTCTTTAGAACCTTTATGTGTGAGTTGGGGCAGGACCTGTGCTGGAGGGGAAAGGGAGGACATGGGAACAGCTTACTGGCCTCTCCGTTTGATCTTTGCCTTGCCGAAAGTTTTATTAAAGTGATCTCTTATTTTCTTGTGTTTGAAGTTCAAATGTGCTGACGTTGCTTTTGCTTCAGCAGTTTAGAATAATTGAGTAGGAATTCTGTCTGTAAATTCCTGGTATATGGTTGTCATTTAATGTTATCTGAGTGAAAGCTGTAAGAAAATATATTTTCTCAAAGAAAATATATTCAGTTATTCAGGATTTTATTGTTTACCTTTTTCATCTTAAAAAACTAAAAAAGATCTTTTTTCTTGCTTTTTCAAGGTGATACTTATACACATTCTTTATAATTAAAAAAATTAAGGACAGTCTTCAAAAATACCACAAGATGTTCAGAGATAAACAGTTTTTCAGACATCTTGGAGTATATATATACATATGAAATTACATATACAAGTATATGAACACAATTCTACATAAATGCTTTCATGTTTTTTAGCCTGCTCTGTTTTTTTCCCACATATTAATAACATATGTAATGTGCCCTAAAGAATCATTTTATACATATTTTTCTGCCTCCTTTAAAAAAGGTTTGATGCCCTTGCAAGGCAACATATGACAGCTCAAGAAAATGAAGGATTGAATAAAGGCAAACTAAAGAAGTAGAATAGCCACCAGCATCTGAACTTGGTTCGTTTACTGCAGTCATATTGACTAACCTGTGAAATTTCTCAACATTTCATACAAAGTAAAAAATAATCATCTTAAGAGCTTTTCTCTAGAAGAATATGACTAATTTTTATAAAGAGTAAATTTCTTATAATTATGACATATCAGAAAAGGAAAACTCATTTAGCAAATGCCTTATTGCATTTAGATTTTTCTAATTAAAACTTATGGCAAATTAATTGTCATGTACAATTTTGATATTGATTCCACTGTTTATGTAATTGCGATTTTGTAGAATTTTGAATTTTCAATTTTCTGTCATAAAGTTTTCTTGCAGTATCAAAATTATGTAACCACCAAAAATAATTGATTTTTACCTTTACTCAAGTTTTGCCTTGAGTAAAGCTTCTTTTCACCAAAGGAGAGTGGTCTAATTTTTAAATTTTAAAAATATAATTGTATACAATCATCGTTTTTTAGGAATAATTTAATATTTACTTAAAACTTGCATTCAATAGAAGAAGATAAGATTCCGTTATAAAGGGAGTTTCTCCAGTGGGCAATTCAGTAGCAGTTGCGTGGGGGCTCTGTTGCTCCCACTCACCAGCTTCCCTGGCTCTCATGATTCACATGTCCTGTGGTATTTTCCCTAAAGTATTTATCACCGTCTCCATCCACAGGGTTTCTTTCTTTGTTGTGTATCTCTCCCTGCTCACTAGATTGTACTGTCCACAGTTTCTTGTTCACTGGCTTATTTCTGGAGCCTGAAACAGGACCTGACACAAAGTAGATTTCTGGAAAATATTTGTTGAATGAATAAGTTTGGGGCTCACTTAATCCAAGAATCATTCTGGACTGCCTTCACTTGATCTTGGATAATACTTTTCTCAGTCTCTCTTACAAGGTATTGAACAATAATATCATTGGGAGATGATATTCCCTATGTATCTCTAGTAGAAATCTGGGTTTAGAATTTAAGATGGCATCATATAATGTAACAGTTAGCTAGGGTGGAGGTAGTTTTGCTTTTCTCTTGTGGAAAAATTGAAGAACATAGCAAGAGCATGCCTCTCTATAGATGACAGTGTAACCTCCTATCAGATGTGAGCCAGTCTTCTCAGGAAGGAATATAGCCTAGCTGGTCGAGTTGAGGCCACAAAACATAATCATTACCCTATAAATTATTATGGCAGACAAGGCCCAAAGGTAGCTAGCTCATTTTAATCATTGAAAATATCACAAAAATATTCAAACTTTAAGCATATAAGTAGAGCATCAGACTTTAAGCAAGTAACTATCTAGTCTATCTTCCAGTAAAAACAAATTGTATTTCTTTAGGGTGGCCTACATTTCTGACAGTGGGCAGATCATTTTTAATTCTAGGAAAATTTATCAATTACTGTGACTCATTCAAAAATACCATAAATTAAGGAGGCCTTTGTAGTGGAAACACTAAAATATGCCTGTGCAGTTTTACTAAGTATGCTTGTATTTATTTGCAGATTTTCCTTAGCAGAACTACACTGGAATTTGGAATGACTGGAAGTCCTGACTGGAGTTGGGTGTCCGGGGCTCCAGTCCTAGTTCTGCCACAGACATCTGTGTTACCTTGGCCGGGTTAGCTTTAGTCTTTTCTCCTCAACTCAGTACTGGGGCCGTGGCTGTAGTCTACTCCATGTGGATGTTCCGAGGCTCGGAGGGAAGAAGGCACCTTGCCTCCAGAGTTCGCTGTCATTGTCATTAATGTTCCTGCTGTTTGCTTGCCTGCCTCCCTTAGAATTGTGTTGCCCTCGGAGAGCAGCTCCAGTCGATCCTGGGAAACGCGGGACACAGGCACGCGCCGGGACTGCAGTCCTCGTCTGCTCCGGGAGCCTTCGACAAGTCATCCTCCACACCTTTTCCTTTCAGAACTGGGCTGACATCTGGAAACGTGGCTGAAGACTCGGAAGCTAACACTGAGAAAAGTCTGCAGCCAGCCGGTGGAGGAAGTCTGAGCAGCCTCCAAGAGTGTAAAATTGTGCCACAAAGCTGTTCTCTTCTTGAGAATGACCTGAAGAATGCAGTATCTTCTTTCTTATCAAAGAAAGCAAGTGACAGCTCACACATACCTAACTCGGAGTTGCTGCCTTTTCTCCAGAATTTGTGTGGTCAGGTGAGCCATCTCCGGGTGGGACCCGGCATCAAGTGGCAGGACAGCATCCCGAAGCCCGGCGGAGGCACTGGGGGTGTCACGTAAGTGTTTAGACCCGTGTGGTCGGGTGGGGTGTGGGGGAGGGTGAGGAGGCAGGTGGAGGAAAGGGGTTTGTTTCAGTAACTTCTTCCTGAAATTGTTTCCGGAGAGAACCGTAGGAGCTTTGACATTTCACCACTGACACATGTAGAGGAAAGAAAGATTCTCCGGAGTAGAACGCGTTGCTTTGAGAGAAGTGTGTAAACTGGAGGTGCCGAGCACGTCTCAGGCGTTTGGTGGCAGGAGCACAAGCATCAGACAAGGGTCGGGGCGGGGAGTTACCTGTGTGAAAGGAGCGGAGCTGCAGTGGCCGTGATGTGTGCGCTTTGCCCGACTGTATGAAGTGAGCCATTGCAGCGGGTTTTCCCTGTAGATCTGTGTGACCCGGGCCGATTTTGGAGTCATGCAGACAGTTTTCAGCTCGTAATTGTTTATAGTATACAGGCGCTTATCCTCTGAGTTCATAATTCCAATGTTTTCCACTCCTGCTTTGATTAAGTGGTAGCTATTTATTTTTAGTATGTTCCCCATCCTTTATATAAATGGAGTGTGTCCAAATATTGCACTGGAATTCAGGACTCTAATCATAGTCCTGGCTTAACTATTTGACTTAACTATTTCAATCTTTGGATTTATACTTTTATTACATATAAAATGAGGTAGTTCTGTTGGTTGAAATTTTTTTAATATTCCAATAGCATTCAGTTTGAGGAGTTTAATAAGTTATTGAAACAAAAAAGTGGTTCTTGAGAAGGACAAGGAAAGATAACATTAGTCTTTAATACTTTAAATTACTTTAATATTAGGTTGGTGCAAACTTAGTTGTGGTTTTTGGACCGTGAATTTTAAGTCATTATAACTAAGCTCAAGCACATCTTTATTAGTCATAGTAGGAACCTTTACAATCAACACATTTTTACCAATGAGAAATAAGTTTGTTTATTCTTGTAGTGTAAAAATCTGTGCCTCTGGATCCGACAACTCTTGGAAAGCATTTTCTGCCTCTTGCTGGTTGTGGAAGCATTTTCCCTGCAAAAAGCAGTTGAGATGCTTGAAGTGGTAGTTGGTTGGCGAGACGTCAAGTGAATATGGCGGATGAGGCAAAACTTTGTAGCCCAGTTCATTCAGCTTTTGAAGCATTGGTTGTGTGACGTGCAGTCAGGTATTGTTGAGGAGAATTGGGCCCTTTCTGTCGACCCATGCTGGCTGCAGGCATTGCAGTTTTCAGAGCATCTCATTGATTTGCTGAGCATACTTCTCAGATGCAATGGTTTTGCTAGGATTCAGAAAGCTGTAGTGGATCAGATGGGCAGCAGACCACCAAAGAATGACCATGACCTTTTTTTGGTGCAAGTTTGGCATTGGGAAGTGATCTGGTGCTTCTTCTCAATCCAGCCACTGAGCTGATCATCACTGGTTGTCTTATAAAATCCACTTTTCATCACGCGTCACAATCCAGTCGAGAAATGGTGTGTTATCATTGCATACAATAAGAGAACGTGATACTTCAAAATGATATTTTTTTTTTTGTTTTTGGTCAGCTCACAAGGCAAGCACTTATCCAGCTTTCTCACCTTTCCAGTTTGCTTCAAATGACCATAGAATGGTTGACGTTGAGTTTTTAGGCAGCTCTCTTGTGTAGTTGTATGAGGATCAGCTTCAATGATTGCTCTCAGTTGGTCATTGTCAACTTCCATGGCCAGCCACTGTGCTCTTCATCTTCAAGGCTCTTGTTTCCTTTGAAAAACTTCTTGAATCCCCAGTGCACCATATATTCCTTAGGAGTTCCTGGACCAACTGTGTTGTTGATGTTGGGAGTTGTCTCTACTGCTTTATTTCCCATTTTGAACTTGGATAAAAAAATCACTCAAAGGACTTCTTTGGTGGCTCAGATGGTAAAGAAAATGGCTTGAATTTGCTTTTTGTCTAACATCATTTCCCTAACCTAATATAAATATAAAATACACAACAAGTAATAAGTCATTAGCAAAAAAATCATAGAGCAAGAATGCATATAAAATTATGTATAACATAACCACATTTATTTAAGAATATATTCCATTATCAAACAGCAGGTTTCAACAGCGCAAAACTGCAATTACTTGTGCACCAACCTAATACTTTAAAAGTATTAAATTACTTTAATACTTTGACTTCCTTACTTCCTAATTATCAGAGAATTTCTTTCATCATGCATAGGTGTCTGTCAAATATTTTCTCTATGGCCATTTATATGATCATGAATTTTCTTCTGTAGTCTGATCTTATCATTAATTACATTAATTTCAAAACCTGAACCCACCTTGCATACCTAGAGTAAATCCCACTTAGTGTGGGCTGTAATTTTTATACAGTGTTGGATCTGATTTGCTAATATTTTTTTGAGTATTCTTGCATCTAATTTATTAGAGGTACTGGTCTGTATTTTTCTTGTCCCGTCTTTGGTTTTTCCTATGAAGATAATACTGGCCTCATAAAATGAGTTCCACATCTTAAAAGAGATTGTGTACAACTGGCATTATCTCTTCTTAAGATGTTTGGTATTGATAGGAGTCCTCAGTGCAACCAGCTGGGCCTGGATATTTCTTTCTCAGAGACTGTTAAATTACAAATTCAGTTTTTAACATAGTAAAGTTGTCAGTTCTCCCCATTGATATGAAGGTTTAATGCAATACATACTAAAATTTCACCACAATATTTTGTAGACATAGGATTATTTTAAAAATTCTATGAAAAGCAAGAGGCGGAATAGCTAAGACAACCTTGAGAAAGAAGAATGAGGTGGGAGGAGTCCCTCTTCCAGTGTCGAGTCTTCTGCAGCGAGAGTATCAGGACAGGGCAGTGAGGGCGGAGGGGCAGCCCAGGGCTCAGGGGAGGCCAGTAGAGGGTTCAGAGATGGACCCACACAGGTGTGCTCCCCTGAGTTTTGACAGAGGCGCAACCGCAGTGCAATAAAGGAAGAGGAGTCTTTCTAACTCAGGGTGCTGGAGCAGATGGGTGGCCAAAGAGCAAGAAGTGAACTGTGACCCAGGTCTTGTACCTTGTATAAAACTTCACTCAAAATGGATCAGGGATGTAAGTTTAAAACATGAAGCCATGGAAGTTTTCTAATAATCCATAGGAGACTGTCTTTGGGAACCTAGACAAGACACCAAAAATGTTTGACCTCCATGAAAATGTTAGAACTTTTGCTCTGTGAAAGACTCTTTTAGGAGGAATAAAATACAAATTCCAAAGTGGGAAAAAAATATTTTTGGATTACAAATCCAAAAAATGACTTACATCTAAAATATAGAGAGTGCTGACTGTTTATAATAGCCAGGACATGGAAGCAACCTAGATGCTCATCAGCAGACGAATGGATGAGGAAGCTGTGGTACATATACACCATGGAATATTACTCAGCCATTAAAAAGAATTCATTTGAATCAGTTCTAATGAGATGGGTGAAACTGGAGCCCATTATACAGAGTGAAGTAAGCCAGAAAGATAAAGACCATTACAGTATACTAACACATATATATNGGGAGCCACGACTCCTGAGGCCCGTGTGCCCTAGAGCACCGCAGCTGGACAGTCTGTGCCCTGGAGCTCGGGAGCCACGACTCCTGAGGCCCGTGTGCCCTAGAGCACCGCAGCTGGACAGTCTGTGCCCGGGAGCCCGGGAGCCACGCCTCCTGAGGCCCGTGTGCCCTAGAGCACCACAGCTGGACAGTCTGTGCTCGGGAGCCACGCCTCCTGAGGCCCGTGTGCCCTAGAGCACCACAGCTGGACAGTCTGTGCTCGGGAGCCACGCCTCCTGAGGCCCGTGTGCCCTAGAGCACCGCAGCTGGAGAGTAGCTCCCACTCGGCACAGCTAGAGAGAAGGGCCCATGCAGCACAACCGAAAAGAAATAAATAAAGTTCTTTTTTAAAAAAGAATTAAAAAGACTCTGTGAAGTGGAATAAAATACAAATTCCAAACGGGGGAAAAAAATGTGCAAATCACAAGTCCAATAAATGACTTAACATCTAAAATATAGAAAGGGCTCTTAAAACTCAACATTAAAAAATCCAGCTAGCACATGGGCAAAAGACATAGACATTTTACCAGAGAGGATATACAAAAGCAAATAAGCACATGGAAAGATATGCTATTGACCTCATGGCTATTAAGGAAAAGTGCATTAAAACCACATGATACCACTCCACAGTTATTCAAATGGCTGAAATAAAAAGTGTAAAATGGTGGCAATACCAAATTCCGATAAGGGTGTGGAGAAACAGGATCTCTCATACATTACTCATGGAGATGTAAAGTGCTACAGCCACTCTAAAAAATACTCCAGCAGTTTCTAATAACTAAACGTATATAGGTACTGTGTGCCTCAGCAGTCATGCTCCTGGGCATTCATCCCAGAGAAAAGAAAACATCTGTCCACATAAAAGCCTGTACACAGTTGTTCATAGAAGCTTCTAGTAATTTAGTAAGGTGGTGTGGATTAAAAAAAAAAAAAAAAAAAAAACACCACAACTATTTCAATTGTACCATTGCTTAGGGAAGTACTTGGAAGACCTTAAAAAAATTCACAAGATGACTTTAGATTTGGAGCTCAAAATAAAAAAAGACCCTTTCTATCTAATGGTCTATTCTTTGAGGGTAGAATTTCCATCATCTTCATTTTTATACTCTCACTTCACTTTGTGCTTAAATGTTTAATGAATTAAAGAAATAAGGCGACTTTGGGCATTCAGGGTTGTGGTCGCCTGTTGGATATGTGTTAGAAATATGTTGCAAGGAGACAGAATATAGTTGTGGAGACAAATTACAAAGTTGTGGCTACTTTATTGTACTACAGTTTAGTTGTTTTTGTTATAATATTAAGGAAAATTGTTACATTATTATTTAAATTTACTTCTAGACTGGAAGAGCAATCCATTTGTTGCTACTTGGAAAAGATTCTTTCTAAAAATATGGAACTGATGGAAAAGAAACTTACAGACTACATTGATCAGCGAATATATAAACTCCAGGAGCACATAGATAATAAGCTTGCTTTGTTAATGGACTTGCTGCAGCGTCCCAACTCCCCACCCTCTGGGTTGCCTCTGAGACATTATGACTCTGGAGAAGGACTTTCAAATGGAGAAAGATAAAGGTTCAACATGTACAAAGTACTACAGATATTTATTACATATTTATTATAAAACCAAACCACCAAGAGTTACAGCAACTATTTAATGTCATTTGAGGACCGCTGTTTACTTGCATAAAGTGACCTCAGTGTTCATTTTACTGTACTGTTACTATAAATCTGGTACTGTACACTAAGATTTAATGTGGTAGGGTCATAAATTATTCCTGTTTCCCATATTTTTCACTCTTGTAAGAAATTAACATACACTTCTGGGTTGCTTAAATGTTCAGATTTTTTTAAGGATTTCTGAAGCATTTCATTAGTTTGTACTATATATGTGTTTGATTGGAGTGCTCTTACGTTTAGGGGTATACAAAGTGCTTAGAATATGTAAGTGATATTTTTTCTTTTTCTAATTAATTGTTCTTATAAAACTGGGTACTTGAGACTTGCAACCTTTAATTTCAAATCACCATGTTACCTTTTTTATTGTTTATTTCCAATAAAAAATTAAATGTGATGTTTGGCATGTGTAAAACTGGTTTTACATTGGAGCTGTTAATTTTGTGTTCTGTCACATTGTAGCTGTGGATAGAAAAGTAATAATTAGAACTGACCTATTCTCTGTTAGGCTTATTACTTTCAGAATCAGTGTTTGGTGTAAAATGAGAGAAGTCATCTTATTTTATCTCAGTCAACCCAGGAAGTAGAAGGAACTCTCTCCTTTTCCAAACTGATACAGGTTCTTCTTTCCAGAGCCCTTTCTGTTTAATGTGTGAAATTCCGAGATTTTGGATTGAACCATTAAGGCACAAAAATCAAGATTACAGTTCTCTCTGGCAGACTTAAGTTTCAGAAACTATACCTATCATATATGTGTTGTAAGGTGATATATTTGCCTCTAAAAAATAAATGAATTCACTCTGGAAATTAAATGTTTTCACCTAGTATTTTAGATGAAAAAGGATGGTTTACACTCATTTAGTATTTTGATGAATTTAGTTCTTTGAAGTGAGAACTAATATAAAGTTTATTCATTTATAAATCACTCTGAAGTTAGGGACATGAGGTTGGTGTTCAGTCGCTTTTGTGTCTGACTCTTTGCGACCCCATGAATTGTAGCATGCCAGGCTTCCCTGTCCTTCACCGTCTCCCGGAGTAGGACTTGTACCATATATAACTTCGATCAGTCTTTTCCTAATTTATTAACAGCATATGTCACCATTAGATGGCATTTCTTTTAGCACATAGGAGAAATGTGTCTCACTTAAAGTCGAACCCTTTCATTAATAGTTTACACAGCTTCTGATAATAGTGGTCTATATTTTGAGTCACAAATTGCTTAATATAATTAGAACACATATGCTGTGTTTTATAAAATAATTAAATACAATATTTATGATTATAGTATTGTAAATAATTCAGATGAGCTTTAATTCCTGATCTTCCATTTTAAAATTGTTTTCATGTTAATAAAGACCTAAATTACATTTTAAATGTATTAGAGATTCATGTGTGTGCTCAGTCGCTCAGTTGTGTCTGACTCTTTGTGGTCCCATGGACTGTAGCCCACCAGGCTCCTTAGATCATGGAATTTTCCAGGCAAGAATACTGGAGTGGGGTGCCATTTCCTACTCCAGGGGGATCTTCCCAAACCAGGGATCATAGGTATTGATTTTCTTACATTTATAAATTTCTATACATGTGTATATGTAATTGCTTTGTTAAAATCATTATTGCCTAAGGAAATACTGCTTGAATTTGCTCAAATGGGAGGAGCAGACCCACAGTATGCACAAAATCTCTATTAAAGTATTTTTTTCTTGTAACTTTCCTCCACTTGTAGGTGGCACAGCTGGTAAGTCCAGTCTGGGCAATGAGGGTTGGCAGATGCACCCGTGTCAGGGTAGCCACAGCAGTTAGAGGTGGCTGCACGGGATGTGTGGGTGATCAGAAATGAGATCAGGAGACAGGTTATGTATTTTAATTTCCACACTGCCTCCCCCTTGAGGATTGTTTCATCTCTGTCTTTCCCATGGTGACATATGAAGGTTTCCATGCCTCTGTCACCACTGGATTTTCAGCTGTTTAGGGGCAGGACAGAGAGTATACTTGTGTGCTGCTGCCACGTGACTTGTCATGAAGATTCAAGCAGCTCACTGGAGGCGCTTCCTCAGCCCCAGTGTAGCTTTCCAGGTGCACCGGCCACCACTACCATGTGACCTGCTGTTCCAGCCTGGCCTTTCTTCCCAAGCCCCCTCGGGCTGTTGGCTCCAGTCCTCCTGCATACGACCCCCCACCTCGCCCTGCCCTCATCACAGTCATCACACTACTGTCCACAGCTCAGCTCATGTGCAGCCTTCATGAAGCTGCCCTTGTTCTCTCCATTCCTCAGCAAATGGCCGGACAAGTGAAACCTAAAGAGACAACACTGAAGGCTCTTCTTAGGGGGACGTAAGTGAAAAAGTTGGCTAAAATCATGGTCCCATCACTTCATGGCAAATGGATGGGGAGACAGTGGAAACAGTAGCACAGTTTCTATTTTTGGGCTCCAAAATGACTGCAGATGGTGATTGCTGCTGCTAAGGCGCTTTGGTTGTGTCTGACTGTGCAACCCCATAGATGGCAGCCCACCAGGCTCCCCCGTCCCTGGGATTCTCCAGGCAACCACTGGAGTGGGTTGCCATTTCCTTCTCCAGATGGTGACTGCAGCCATGAAATTAAAAGACACTTGCTCCTTGGAAGAAAAGCTATGACCAACCTAGACAGCATATTCAAGAGCAGAGACATTACTTTGCCAACAAAGGTCCATCTAGTCAAGGGTATCGTTTTTCCTGTGGTCGTGTATGGATGTGAGAGTTGGACTATCAAGAAAGCTGAGCGCTGAAGAATTGATGCTTTTGAACTGTGGTGTTGGAGAAGACTCTTGAGAGTCCCTTGGACTGCAAGGAGATCCAACTGGTCCATCCTAAAGGAGATCAGTCCTGGGTGTTCATTGGAAGGACTGATGTTGAAGCTGAAACTTCAGTACTTTGGCCACCTGATGCAAAGAGTTGATTCATTGGAAAAGACCCTGATACTGGGAAAGATTGAAGGCGAGAGGAGAAGGGGATGACAGGATGAGATTTTTGGATGGCCTCACTGACTCAGTGGGCATGAGTTTTGGTAAATTCCGGGAGTTGGTGATGGACAGGGATTCTTGGCATGCAGCAGTCCATGGGGTTGCAAAGAGTTGGACACGGCTGAGGGACTGAACTGAACTGAAAGCAGTTTAGATTGACTCAAGCATATGATGCATGTCAGATAGAGGAAAGACTTGAAAAAGTAGTAGCCTGGGTCTGGCTCAGGAAAACCATCACTGCTTAACTGTGGATCTTTAGCACCAAGTTATCAGCAGCTCACACAGAAGGGTGACCTGATTACCCTGGGCCTTGGGAAGAAGACCAGAGTAGAGCTTTGCTCCTGGCCTCACTTGCAGGATTTCCTGGCATCCTGCTTTGGGTGCTGGAATGGATCAGTAGAACCATGTAACATCTAACTGACTGATGAGTTAACTTAGTTGCTCCTCACTTGCTCTGCAGGCTTTGCCAGAATCACGTGGGGAACTTGTTAAACATGCAGATTCTACAGCCCAACTCATTCTAAGGAATCACACCAGAGGGAGAAGCTGTCCCTGAACAGGGGCCTTTCAAAAGATCTCAGGGTTCTTATTAGTTGACTCTGAGGACAGGAGGAGAAGGGGACGACAGAGGATGAGATGGTTGGATGGCGTCATCGACTCAATGGACATGGGTTTGGGTGGACTGTGGGAGTTGGTGATGGACAGGGAGGCCTGGCGTGCTGCGGTTCATGGGGTCGCAAAGAGTTGGACATGACTGAGCAACTGAACTGAACTGACTGACCCCCAAACCAATGAATCAGAATCTCCATGGTGGGGCCCAGCAGAGAACCCTTGGTGAAGGTTGCATCACTCAATGTTTTCACTTCCACACTTTCCATCCAGATCAAGCTCAGGAACAGAACATATCTGTGGCTGGATCAGAGCCACCATCAAAGGGGTCAGCTGCTCATGCTGGCATCACAGTTTACAAAGTACTGACACGTCTGTCTGCAAACAGCCACCACCACCGTCAGACCACACAGTGTTCATTATCTTTTCGCGTTTGAGAAGAAACAACAGGCTCAGAGAGCTGAACTACTTTGCCAACCATTCTATCAAGTAAATGGAGGGAAAGGGCCTTGAATCCAGGACTCCTTTCCTTCTCCTGTTTCCATACTCTGTTCCCTGTGCCCATGGAGGTCAGACTCCCCAAGATTCCAAAGGTACAAAACCCATGGGTTGATTCCCCCCCTTGATTTAATGCAAGTCCTACTGACAAGCCCAGGCTAGCCCAGCACCAGTGGCAAGGTGGACAGTGCAGGAGCCCCCCAACAGTTGTAGCTAGGAGACATGCTCTGGTCATGAGTCTCACTCCCTGGTCATGAGACTCCTCCCCTCCACTGATGGGTGTGCTAGTTGGCAACCCAGAGGGGAATCCCACCACAACAGTCAGCTTTGCCCCCATGGGCCAGAGATTCCTTCTCCCATCTAGATGCACCCATGACTCTAGCTGGGGAATCTCTGGTTCATTCAGGTGGCACTGCTGGGGGCTTGGGAGCCCCAGTATCACCAGAAAAATGGATCAAAATAGCACCTGGAGGGATTTCCATGACAGTCCGCTGGCTAAAGCGCCACACTTCCACTGCAGAGGGCGTGGATTCGAGGCCTGGTCGGAGGAGCTAAGATCCCTCATGCCTAAAAACAAGTGAAAAAAAAACAAAATGGCACCTGGAGTCTCCTCTTTTAACGTTACTAAACTGGCTGGGTACGAGTACATTTATACAGTTGACTTACAACAGGTATCCTATTCAGCTTTCATTTGTAATGCTTTTAACTTATAAAGTATGAAAGTCTTCCAATGTCAATGAACATATGCTTGAATCCTAGTAAATGCCTCCGTATCATTTTATTGTGTGGTAACAATAAAACTTTATTTTATTGTAACATAAAGTCTTCTATAATCAAAACTCTTAAGAGTGTTTTTCACCTCCCCATGTTTCTATTTATTTTTTTCACTGTAATTTTAAACCTGCTTTTGATTACCAATCAAATCCTGAAAATTACTGTAAGGGAAATAAGACCTGAAAAGGTAAAGACATAGAATTAAGTGATTCAAAATGATCTTTCTGTCTCATGGGAGCTAAAATATACCTACAGGTGGAACAGAATTCAGAACCCATGGAAGAGCTGGTGTCCAGAGGTGATGTCACACAGGCCGTGGTCCAATGGGGTTCATAGCCCTGGAGCTGGAGAGAGACTGGGCTTCTAGAGTGAGCTCTTCAACCTTGTGTCTTAATTCCTCTCACAGGGATGATTCGATCCCTCTTTCTCAAATTATAGGTTTGATAAAATATCCTGTTCCCTGCAGGGTTTTTTTGTTGTTATTTAAAAAAAAAATTTTTTTCCAGTTGGCTTTCATCCAGATCTAGAGGATTTAACTGTAGTAAGTATGTTTAGCTGTTTATGCTTCTATCCTGACTCACTGTTCCCAAATTTCGTTCTGTTAGATTAAGCAAATGTCTTATTCCAGGCAAACTGGATTTCCTGGGAGAATATAAGGGGGGAAAGGGCAGAAAGGTCCTGTAAAGACAGAATGAGGAAAAAAAGGCTCCGTGAATCTCCTAAAACCATGAGATGGCATGACAGCTGTCAGTGGGAGAATTGAAAACCTTTTCCTTAAGACATAATCACTTATAAAACGGGTTTGTGTGTTTTATTACACAGCATAATGTTTTGAAAAAAAGTCTTTCCCTGAGTCATTCCCATAAAATAGTATTGAAATTTGCTGGACAGCCAGGGTTTAATCCTGACTCTTATCAGTAAACGTTATTTCTTGAGACCCAGGTGTTTGGGAATAAAACCCTTTGCTCAAGTGCAGGCTTGTTTTTGACAGACAGCTGCATGTTACTGCCTGTGAAAGGGAAAAGATTCTTCTCAAGGTTTCTGTTGATTGCGTTCCCTCTGGACTTTCAGTCCTTTTTCATCCATGAATAAACCCTTTACCCAACCTGGATCACTTTGGAATGCTGGGCTTCTGGGAAGATTCATGCTTCCATGCATAAGGAAAGCTCTGTGGTTTGGGTTCCCTGTCCCCTCTCTGAAGGAAGCATACTGTGGTTGCTAAGTGACTGGGGGGTGGGGGAGGGGGCGGGAGTTCACACTCACACTCACGGCTTGCACTTCTCTGCCCAGGTGTTGTGAGAGATGTTTGACCTCGAGATCATGATCGCCATTGGGAGCGCCTTACTGATTACAGCTTTCGTGCTCATAGGCGTCGTCATCTGGCTTTACTACAAAGTAGCCAACACGTTAAAGTGAGTGATGTGGGTAAGAGGGGCTAACACCCCCTCGCATGGGATCCTGGAGCTCTGTGCTTGAGCGGGGTCACCCCCGGCCCTGTGGCCGCACCCTGGGTGAGGTCAGGAACAGCAGGAGGGTTTGAGAGGACCGAGGCAGGGAGGGTAGGATCTGGCTTTCTGCCCCTTCTGGTCTGGGGCTGTGAGCTGACAAGGAGAATGTTCTCAGCCGCTGGGTCTGCGCTGCTTTGCCGTCCCTTGGCCTCCCCGGGTTTACCCTTAGCGGGTTGATCCCACAGGACTGCAGACTGAAGATGGCATGACTGAGTCTGCCTGTGCTCACTCAGAGGATGGGCTGAGCTGATGTTCCCCCCGCCTGAGTTGGGGCGTGCTCAGCGGGTCCTTGGCTCCAGGCACAGTGGGATGGGCCTGTAGGACCCTGGGGAAGTTGAGTTGTGTGAAGATCCTGGGCTTTGCCTCACCAGGGAGTGTAAATCAGAAAAGGGGGTGTTAAATTTGGGAAAAAGGAGGCCTCAGATATAGGCGAGACTGGTTGTCAGAAGCAGTGGTGTTCCCATGCATTAACGTTCCAAGGAGACAGCATGTTTGTTGTACAGAGTCCTGCATCAAGCTTTGAATGACCTGGTTTTTATTTCCAGCTCCTCCTCTACTTGTATGTGTTTGATCAAGGCAGTGTGCTTCTCCATGTCTCGGATTCTTTATGTGATAAGTGGGGAGAATACCAAAAAAAAAAACCCCCAAACCAGCAGCAGTCATGTTCCCATTCTAGGGAAGTTCATTCTGTGAGCAGGAAGGTAACTCCGAGCACCCGAGGGTCCAGGGGCGGCTGACTCGGCACCCTCCCGGCTTGTGCTCTGCACTTGGCAGACTTGCAGTGATCACCTGGGTGACCCGCGCTTGCAACTCACTCTCCCTCATTTGCTGGCACCTGATCTTACATTTCTGGCACTCTTAGGAGAGGAAGGGATTGGACAGGAACTTGGGATGAGGGCAGAGTTGCTTTCATCTTGGGTTGGTGTCATGTGTTTGATTGGTTCCAGCCCCAAATTCTCCAGATCCCCATGACAATTGTAACTGGTGGACTAGAAGAAAAATTCTAATCCTATACTCTGTGTATGTCTTTTCTTAAGTGCTGCAAAGACACCCATTGCTACGGCCATTACCTGTAGTGATCAAGATAAGGTCACCGAAGCTGCAACCTCCACCCCCGAGTCTTACCCCAGTTTCCGGTGCTATGAAGAATGTAACTTGCCTGCCAACTTTGATCCCCTGACATCGTGCTTCTGTGACATAAACAAGGGACTCAATACAGAATGAGTAATAGAAGGTGGTTATGAACACCAACTGCCACCATCTGACTAGTTACAGAAACAAGGACTCTGTCGTGAATATTTCCTCCTTATTTGTTATGAATATGTTGTATTTACATACGTTAAGCAAATGTTTTCTTTCTTATTTCCATATCATGTAACATAAGATGTACTGACTTTATGTCAGTATTTAGTAGTTAATTTTACATCATAGTATTTATGTTATAGGCTTACCAGGTGGTCCAGTGGTAAAGAATCCATTTGCCTAGCAGGAGACTCAGGTTCGATTCCTGGGTTGGGAAGATCCTCCAGAGAAGGAGATGGCAACACACTTTCTGTTCAGGATGCAAAATCATGCACGGGAAACTGGAAGCCTGTAGGTCCAACAAGATTCAGAATCTGTTAGAGGCACACCAAAGGGCCTGGAGGCAGCAGAGGAATAATTAATAGGGGAGGGCGGGGAGGGCAGAGGAGTGAATCTGGCCAGCTGGAAGAGTGAGCTGGGCTGAGACAGAGATGGTGTCAGAGGCCATGCTAAGGGGGGGTAGGGGGGTGGCGTCATCCTACCTTGGGGCTCCCCCACTGAGCTGAGGGTGGATCTGTTAGGGGAACCACTGAGTTATCTTACAAACAGGAGACCCTGGTAAGGAACAGGGAAATAACAAGCTACCACCAACTGGAAGAATTCAGGAAAGGTCAAAAGGAGAGGGGTGGGACCTCCCTGGTGGTCTGGTGGTTAAGACTCTGAGCTCCTGATGCAGGGGCCTGAGTTCAATCCCTGGTCTGGGAAGTATATCCCACATGCAACTAAGACTGGGACAGGCAAATTTAATTAGATTCAGGAGTGTCTAAAGCTTAAGACATCTTCAAACCTTGTAAAAACTCATTTTTTTCTTTTCCATGTTAAGCTGAGTAAATCACTTGACTTTTATCATTTAAGATTAGGCATGGCTATAACAAAATTTCAAATAACAGTGGCTTGAACAAGTAAGAATTTGATTTCTCTCCTCTTCAAAATGCCCAGCAGCAAGAGGTCAGGCCTGGCTGTCTTTGCCATGTCAGGGGCCACATTACTCTATGTGGGTTCTCTCCCCAAAGTCACAGCATGGGCCAAGGTGACTGCCAGTTCTCTAACCTTCATGTTTAAATTCTAGAGAAGAGGAAGGAGGTTGAGAAAAGCTGTGCATTCCATTTCTCTTTAAATCCCCTGTGATAGATAGAACTGAATGATATGGTCTCAACTAGCCACAAGGGAAGCTCAGAAATGTCATTCTTATTCCAGTTGTGAATCGGCACTTGAATTTTGCTAAATCAGTAGATATCAAGTGTTCTCACCACACACACACACAAATGGTAGCCGCATGAGTGGTAGGTATGTTAATCAGCTTGACTTTGGTAATCATTTCACGATGTACACATATACTAAAACATCATGTTGTATACCTTACATATATATAATTTTTGTCAATTCTGCCTCAATAAAGGATACTTACTGGGATTTCCTTGGTGGTCCACTGGTTGAGACCTTGCCTTCCAATGCACGGAGTGCAGGTTCAATCCTTGGTCAGGGAGCTAAGATTCCACATGCCTCATAACCAAGGAACCAAAGCATAGAAGGGAAGTAATATTGTAGCACATACAATAAAGACTTAAAAACGGGTCCACATCAAAACAAAAGAAAATAAAAAAACTTTAAAAAGTGTTCAGTTCAGTCGCTCAGTTGTGTCCGAGTCTTTTCGACCCCATGGATGGCAGCACNCTTGACCCAGGCATAGAACTCACATCTCCAGGACCTCCTGCATTGGCAGGCAGGTTCTTTACCAGCTGAGCCACTGGAGAAGCCCAAGAAAGTCCAGAGAAGTCACTTAATGTGACCAAAGGCACATATTAATGGAAGGCAGAGAGGAACTGAATCCAAGCAACCTGGCTCCAGAGCCCGTACTGTTCCTTACCCTATCCCAGTGGTTCTAAAACTGGACGGAGTATCAGAAGCACGTGCAAAGTTACTTAAAAGCATAACATAAAAGCTGGGCCCCACCACACCCCCAATTTGGACTCAAACAGGGTGGGTAGGGCCTGAGAATCTGCACAGGTAACAACTTCCCAGGTCAACCTGATGCTGCCACACATTGAGAATCACAGCCCTACACCACTGACATAGAACTGACTTCTCTATCCTTCAAAGAAATAAAAGAGAAGTGGGGCTTTCAAATTGCCTGGAATTCTGGGGTTATTAAGAATTGTACGACTCCCCTGGTGGTACAGTGGATAGGAAACCATGCACAGGGTACATGGGTTCAATCCCTGGTCTGGGGAGATTCCACTTGTGGAGCAGCCAAGCCCACACACCACGACGACTGAGCCTGGGAGCCCCAGAGCCTGTGCTCTGCAACGAGAGAAACCACTGCAGTGAGAAGCCTGCACATGACAACTAGAGAACAGCCCACACACAGCAGGGAAGATTCAGCGTAGCCAAAAATAGGGAAGAGGGAGATTAACATTTAGTTTCCTCCTGTGTGCCAGGCCTGTACTAGTTGCTTCATGTTCAGAGTATTATAAACTCACACAAGATGGAAGCTGTAATATTCCCATTTTACAGAAGGGAAAACTGAAGTTATTAAAAATATTGAATCCCTCATGCAAAGTTAGACAGCAGTTAAGTGACCAACTAGGAAGAGCTCAGATTTATCTATCCTTGTGTTTTTTCCTCTATATCATCATGGACATATGTTCTCCAAGAACACTTAGAGAAGAAATGTCAGAATGGTAGAAAACTGAAACCCTGGGCTGCCTTTAAGAAGGAGGAAGTAGTGATGTGAGGGCAGGAAGGGACAACGAGGAAGATGCTGTATTTGCTTTCCCTTGAGAGATAAGTCATTTCACCTTTCAATAGCCGTGGATTTCAAATGTCAAAGGAGATCAATTCAAAATAAGAAGGTTCTACACCAAAATCTACATGGGCACCAGGAAACAAGGAGAAGGAAAGGAGTCCTGTATTCCAGGCCCATCTTCCCCACATTTTTTTAAGAGAGAGATTTTGGTGTCTACAAGGTGGAAAATTCAGTTGAAGAATATTTGATATCAGCTCTTTTCAGTCTTGAACTTTTATATATCTTTTTATATATCTTTGATATGACCATATTTCTGTTTCAGATGTAATCAAGGTGAGACTTGTAATATGAGTCACATATCTGGAAAGAGGCCTTTTTAAAAATAATTTTAATTGTTTTTGGCTTTGCTGGCTCTTGGCTGCTGCACGGACTTTTCTCTAGTTGCAGCGAGTGGGCTCCTCAATGTGGTGGCTTCTCTTATTGCGAAGCACAGGCTTAGGTCACGCAGGCTCCAGTAGCTGCGGCTCCCAGGCTCTAAAGCACAGGCTTAGATGCTCCGAGGCATGTGGGATCATCCCAGATCAGGGACCGAACCTGTGTCGCCTGCTTTGGCGGGCAGATTCTTTACCACTGAGCCACCAGGGAAGGTCTGGAAGGAAACATTTTGTAAATCAACAGACTACAACTACCAGAAGCTGTAAAACTGAACTAAAGGGTTCAGCTTGGAGGGAGAGGCATTTCTCCTGAACAACAATGGGAATACTATCTTACAGCTATGTATGTTGTCCCATCAATTAGAAAAGAATAGAAAAATATGCAAATTCTCAAGTGGCTGTAGTGAGAGTATGTCTCATATACTGTGCTACCTTTGTAGTGTGATACAAATGAACAAGAGTATGTAAATTGCCCTCATTTGAAAGAACTGACCACAATGTCAATTGCAAAACACCCCCTTTCATAAAGCATTTTAAGAAAATATAGTTGAGGGAGGTCGGCTCAAGAGGAAGGGGATATATATACATTCACGGTGTTGTATGGCAGAAACCAACGCAACAACGTAAAAGCAGTTATCCTCCAATTAGAAAAGAGAGCTGAAAATAAATTTGTTTACTTAGACAAGTAGTTTCCAGAGTGCATACATTTAATTTTTAAATGTGAATCATCACCCTTCAACACACATATGATAGTTATAATTTCTAAAAATTAAGTCTGCCTGAGAGAACTGCAATCTCCTTGATTCATATGCCTCAACCCTCAATGCAGATCCTCAGAATTTCATGCTTTAAATATACAGAAAAGGGTTCTGGAAAGAGGAACCTGTACCAGTCCAGAAAGGAAAACAGTTCCTTGCATCTTTTGGATTGATTGAGATAAAATAAAACGACTTCTCTCATTTTACATCAAACACTAGATCTAAAATAACATTCCTAACAAGGAATAGACTAGCTCTCATTGGTACTTCCCTCTCTGCTATGACACTGCACTGAAACCAATAATATTAACGTCAGTGTAAACTACTTTCACACATGCCAAACACTGCATTTTCCTCATTACCTGAGATAAACAATACAAAATGTCAACTCTTGATTTTAATGAAAGTTTCCAAGTCTTAAGGATCCAATTTTTCAAAAACAATTAGAAAAAGAAAAATTATCAAATACTCTAAGCATTATTTTCAGACTCCTAAGACTGTAAAAAGTCTTTGTATCAAAAAAAGGTACTTCAACAAAACACGTACACAATACACACTAATGAACTGCTTTAGAAATCCTTAAAATCTTAAACATTTAATCCAGAAGTATACATAAATTTCAGTAAGAGTGAAAAATATTACAAACAAAAACAACTGAAGATCCCACCATGTTAACTTAGTGTACAGTACTGGATTTACAACGTGTGCAGGAAAATGAACACTGAGGTCACTTCACCTAAGTGGTAATATTTCAAAGGACATTAAATACTTGCTTTTCATAAACTTTCTGGGGTAGGGTTTGGCTTTCTAATAAATGTGTAATAAATATCTGTAGTACTTTGTACACGTTGAGCATTTATCTTTCTCCATTTGAAAGTCCTTCTCCAGAGTCATAATGTCTCAGAGGCAACCCAGAGGGTGGGGAGTTGGGACGTTGCAGCAAGTCCATTAACAAAGCAAGCTTATTATCTATGTGCTCCTGGAGTTTATATATTCGCTGACCAATGTAGTCTGTAAGTTTCTTTTCCATCAGTTCCATATTTTTAGAAAGAATCTTTTCCAAATAGGAACAATCAGGTTGCTCTTCTACTCTAAAAATAAATTTAAAAAAATATTATGACAATTTTCCCTAGTATTATAACAACCAAAATACACTACAATAAAGTAGCCAATACACATTGCTGTAATTTATCTCCACAACTACATTCTGTCTCCTTCCAACATATTTCCAGGTTCTAGACACATACAATCTTGAATGCTCAGAGCATTATTATTGCTCCAGTTCTTTAAATATTTAAGCATAAACTGCAATAAGAATATAAAAATGAAGATGACAGAATTTCTACCCTCAAAAACAAGTCTTTAGATACAAAGGGTCTTTCTTTTCGGTTTTGAGCTCCAAATCAAAAGCAATCTTGCTTTTTCTTTAAGGTCTTTGTATGTCTTCCAAGTCCTTCCCCGAGCAACACTACCATTTTAACGGTTTTCTCAGTTTTCTCTTTTCTTCATCCAAACAACCTTCTAAAACATTGGAAGGACAAGGACAGTGAATTTCAGAGTGGTCCACAAAACTCTAGGATCTCCTCATATTTTTCTGGGTGTTCCATGAGGTCAAAAGTATTTTTTATAATAACACTAAGTTATCTGAACATGAATTGTACAATAAATGTACAATGAATTATCCAGAGGCCACACCGTGTAATGTCATTACTGTGATGACTAACAGCTATATGGTTGTATAATCTGTTTCCTAGAATTCTTTAAGGTAGTAGGTTTAGGGTACAGATAAATTTTTTTCTTAGAGGTAACTTGGTTTGTTCTCAGTATTTCTACTGTGGTCTTACTAGCTCTGCAAGGCAACATATATGAAACTACAACCCAAAGTCAATACAGTTTTACATATATTTGAAACAATACCATTCTCACTAAACTTTTTAAAAAGAAAACATGGTATTTTTTAAAAAAGATATTTATGTTACTATGTAATGGGTTTATTATTTCTAAACTAATAAATACTTTTATATAGCCTACATAAATAAAAGTTCTTTGGATGCTCAATTATTTTTAAGAGGGTAAAGACCAAAACCTTTGAGAACCGCTACTCTGGAATGTAGTGGTTTCTAGTACTCATACATGGATGAGAGAGTTGGACCATAAAGAAGGCTGAGCAGCAAAGAGTTGATGCTTTTGAACTGCAGGGCTGGAGAAGACTCTTGAGAGTCCTTTGGACAGCAAGGAGATCAAACCAGTCCATCCTAAAGGAAATCAACCCTGAATATTCGTTGGAAGGGCTGATGCTGAAGCTGAAGCTCCAATACTTTGGCCACCTGATGCGAAGGGCCGACTCACTGGAAAAGATTCTGATGCTGGGAAAGAATTAAGGCAGGAGAAGGGGACGACAGAGGATGAGATGGTTGGATGGCATCGCCAACTCAATGGACATCAGTCTGAGCAAGCTCCGGGAGATGGTGAAGGACAGGGAAGACTGGCGTGCTGCAGTCCATGGGGTTGCAGAGAGTCAAACAACAATGACTGAACAACAACACTCTAAAATATACAAGAAGCTTTTTATTGTTCTCTTTATTTTCAAATAACTATAGATTCATAGGAAGTTGGAAAGATACTATATTTGCCCGGTACCCTTCACCAAATGGTCCTGGTCTTTACTTCTTATGTAACTATGGTATAATATCAAGATCAGGAATTTGATGTCAGTACAGTGTGTGTATGCCATTTTATCATACGTACACACATTTATGTAAATATCACCACAATCAAGAGACAAAACTATCCCTTAACTACAATGATCTCCCTCCTGCTACCCTTTCATTGTCACATCCACTTCCCTAATCTCCTCCATCCTGAACACCTCGTAATCACTTGCAGTGTTCATCTGTATTATGATAATGTTACAGAAATGGAACCATGTAATGTGACCTCTTGAGATTCTCTTTTGTAGATCAGCATAATGCCTTTGCCAGACAACCAAACTGTTGCATGTGTCAATAGGTCATTCCTTTTTTTTTGGTCATTTCTTTTTACTGCTGATAGCATCCCATGATATGGATACACCAGGGTTAATTTAACCATTCATCAACTTTAAGACATATTGGTTGCTTATAGTTTTGGGCTTTTACAAATAAAGCTATGAACAATTGTGTATTGATTTTTATGTGGAAAAAAATTCTTTGGGGAGTTCCCTGGTGGTACAACAGATAGGAATCCACCTTCCAACTTAGGGGACACAGGTTCAAGCCCTAGTTGGGGAAGATTCCACATGCCACAGAGCAACAAATGAGAAGCCAGTGCGAAGGAACGAAGAGCAGCCCTTGCTCGCCACAGCTCAAGAAAGCCCACTAGCAGCAATGAAGTCCCAGCACAACCAAAACTAAATTAATTAATAAAAAAAGAAGTTTTCATTTCTCTGGGATAAATGCTCAGGAGTCTGATTTCTGAGTCACATGGTGACATGTTTAGCTATGAGAAACTGCCAAACCTTTTTGAAAGTGGCTGTACCACTTTAAATCCCCATGAGCAATGTATGAGAGATCCTATTTCTCATTGGTATCTGGTTTTCTCACCATTTTTAAACTTTTTATTTTAACCATTTGAATAATTGTATAGTGGTATCTTGTGTCCTGTGGTTTTAATGTGCCCTTCCTTAATAGCCATGAGGTCAAGAACAACTCATCTTTTCATGTGGTTATTTGCTTTGTACATCTTATCTGGTAAAAATGTCTCTCTAAGGTCTTTTGCCCATGTTCTAATTGGATTTTATTTTTTTTTAAATGTTGAGTTTTCAGTACTCTCTATATTTTTTTTGTTTGTTTGTTTGTTTTTCCATTTATTTTTATTAGTTGGAGGCTAATTACTTTACAACATTGCNGTCTTTCACAGAGCAAAAGTTCTAACATTTTCATGGAGGTCAAACATTTTTGGTGTCTTGTCTAGGTTCCCAAAGACAGTCTCCTATGGATTATTAGAAAACTTCCATGGCTTCATGTTTTAAACTTACATCCCTGATCCATTTTGAGTGAAGTTTTATACAAGGTACAAGACCTGGGTCACAGTTCACTTCTTGCTCTTTGGCCACCCATCTGCTCCAGCACCCTGAGTTAGAAAGACTCCTCTTCCTTTATTGCACTGCGGTTGCGCCTCTGTCAAAACTCAGGGGAGCACACCTGTGTGGGTCCATCTCTGAACCCTCTACTGGCCTCCCCTGAGCCCTGGGCCGCCCCTCCGCCCTCACTGCCCTGTCCTGATACTCTCGCTGCAGAAGGCTCGACACTGGAAGAGGGACTCCTCCCACCTCATTCTTCTTTCTCAAGGTTGTCTTAGCTATTCCGCCTCTTGCTTTTCATATATTTTTAAAATAATCCTGTCTATGTGTACAAAATATTGTGGTGAAATTTTAGTATGTATTGCATTAAACCTTTATATCAACGGGGAGAACTGACAACTTTACTGTGTTAGAAATTCAATTTGTAATTAAAAAAAAAAAGAAAGAAATTCAATTTGTAATTTAACAGTTACTAGGAAAGAAATCATCCAGGCCCAACTGGTTTTCATTGGAGACTTCTATCAATACCAAACATCATACAAAAAAAAAAAAATCACATCAATTTTACACAATCTCTTCTAAAATATAGAACTCAAAAAAAAGTAGAACTCATTTTATGAGACCAGTATCACCCTCATAATATAAAACCAGACAAAGACAGTAAAAGATAAATACAGACTAGTATCGCCAATGAATTGTATGTAAGAATACTTGACAGAATATTAGCAAATCAGTTCCAGCATTGTATAAAAAAGAATTAGACCCCACAATAAAGTGGGATCTATTCTAGGTATGCTAGGCAGGTTCAGTTTTTGAAACTAATGTAATTCACCATATGAAGAGATTACTGAAGAAAATTCATGATCAAATAAATAGTCATAGGAAAAATACTTGACAAAAATCCTGTATCCCTCTATAATGAAAGAAACTCTGATAACCAGGAACTAAGAAACACTAAGCTTCAGCAGCCCTAAGCAATCTGACTTCTCTCCACCTTTTATAGTCTTTATGTGTTTGTTGTATTATATCCAGGGATTTTTACTGTTAACAGGGAGGATCTGAGAGTACTGGAGACATTCCAGCTCAGCTGGAATCAGAAAAGTGGAAGTGGAAGTTGCTCAGTCGTGTCTGACTCTTTGCAACCCTATGGACTATACAGTCCATGGAATTCTCCAGACCAGACCAGAATACTGGAATTCTCCAGACCAGAATACTGGAGTGAGAAGCCTGTCCCTTCTCCAGCGGATCTTCCCGACCCAGGAATTGAACCAGGGTCTCCTGCATTGCAGGCAGATTCTTCACCAACTGAGCTGTCAGGGAAGCGCAGTTTTTAAGGTTTAGGTTTTGTTTTCTCTGCATTTTAGTATTGGTTTGTTTTGCCATGTCACAGGTTAACACTGATGAAGACTGTCAACAACTAAAACACTGTCACCTTTTCTTGTTCTTCCCAAAGAAGGACCACCATTTGTTTCAATAACTTACTAAACTCCTCAAATTTCAATGCTATTAAATACATTAAGAAAATTTCAACCAATACAACGACCTCATTTGAGATGTAAAAAAAGTCTAACTCAAAAGACTGAAATAGTAAGGCAAAATAGTTAAGTCAGAACCATGGCTAAAGTCCTGAATTTCCATCTAGTTCAATATTTGGAAACATTCTGTTTATCTAAAGGACGGTGTGTGTGTGCTCAGTCGTGCCCAACTATTTGCGGCCTCATGGACTATAGCCCACCAGGCTCCTCTGTCCATGGAATTCTCCAGGCAAGAATACTGGAGTGGGTTGCCATTTGCTAGTCCAGGGGATCTTCCCAACTCAGGGATCGAACCTGCGTCTCTTCTGTCTCCTGTACATACTAAACACTTAACTATCCCTCGATCAAAGCAGGAGTGGAAAAAATTGGAATTATGAAACCAGAGGATAAGCGCCTGTATACTATAAATAATTACGAGCTGAAAACTGTCTGCATGACTCCAAAATCGGCCCGGCTCACACAGATCTACAGGGAAAACCCGCTGCAATGGCTCACTTCATACAGTCGGGCAAAGCGCACACATCACGGCCACTGCAGCTCCGCTCCTTTCACACAGGTAACTCCCCGCCCCGACCCTTGTCTGATGCTTGTGCTCCTGCCACCAAACGCCTGAGACGTGCTCGGCACCTCCAGTTTACACACTTCTCTCAAAGCAACGCGTTCTACTCCGGAGAATCTTTCTTTCCTCTACATGTGTCAGTGGTGAAATGTCAAAGCTCCTACGGTTCTCTCCGGAAACAATTTCAGGAAGAAGTTACTGAAACAAACCCCTTTCCTCCACCTGCCTCCTCACCCTCCCCCACACCCCACCCGACCACACGGGTCTAAACACTTACGTGACACCCCCAGTGCCTCCGCCGGGCTTCGGGATGCTGTCCTGCCACTTGATGCCGGGTCCCACCCGGAGATGGCTCACCTGACCACACAAATTCTGGAGAAAAGGCAGCAACTCCGAGTTAGGTATGTGTGAGCTGTCACTTGCTTTCTTTGATAAGAAAGAAGATACTGCATTCTTCAGGTCATTCTCAAGAAGAGAACAGCTTTGTGGCACAATTTTACACTCTTGGAGGCTGCTCAGACTTCCTCCACCAGCTGGCTGCAGACTTTTCTCAGTGTTAGCTTCCGAGTCTTCAGCCACGTTTCCAGATGTCAGCCCAGTTCTGAAAGGAAAAGGTGTGGAGGATGACTTGTCGAAGGCTCCCGGAGCAGACGAGGACTGCAGTCCCGGCGCGTGCCTGTGTCCCGCGTTTCCCAGGATCGACTGGAGCTGCTCTCCGAGGGCAACACAATTCTAAGGGAGGCAGGCAAGCAAACAGCAGGAACATTAATGACAATGACAGCGAACTCTGGAGGCAAGGTGCCTTCTTCCCTCCGAGCCTCGGAACATCCACATGGAGTAGACTACAGCCACGGCCCCAGTACTGAGTTGAGGAGAAAAGACTAAAGCTAACCCGGCCAAGGTAACACAGATGTCTGTGGCAGAACTAGGACTGGAGCCCCGGACACCCAACTCCAGTCAGGACTTCCAGTCATTCCAAATTCCAGTGTAGTTCTGCTAAGGAAAATCTGCAAATAAATACAAGCATACTTAGTAAAACTGCACAGGCATATTTTAGTGTTTCCACTACAAAGGCCTCCTTAATTTATGGTATTTTCGAATGAGTCACAATAATTGATAATATTCCTAGAATTAAAAATCATCTGCCCACTGTCACATATGTAGGCCACCCTAAGGATATGCAATTCATTTTCACTGGAAGATAGACTAGATAGTTACTTGCTTAAAGTTTGATGTTCTACTTGTATACTTAAAGTTTGAATACTTTTGTGACATTTTCAATGATTAAAATGAGCTACTTTGGGGCCATGTTTGCCGTAATAATTTATAGGGTAATGATTATGTTTTGTGGCCTCAACTCGACCAGCTAGGCTATATTTCTTCCTGAAAAGACTCGCTCACATTTGTTAGGTTACAGTTTCCTCTAGAGAGGCATGCTCTTGCTATGGTACTCAATTTTTCCACAAGAGAAAAGCAAAACTACCTCCAGCCTAGCTAACTGTTACATTACATGGCTCTACCCTAAATTCTAAACCCAGAACTCTACTAGACATTCTTTTATATTAACTTATCTGTTTGTTTATTTATTTTGTTGCACTCTACCACATGAGGGATCTTAATTCCACAATCAGGGTTTGAACCCGGGCCCCCTGTAGGTGGAAGCTTGGAGTCTTAACCACTGGACCACCAGGGAAGTCCTAGAGATTCTTACCAAGGGATATCATCTCATAGTTAATGCTGTTCAACACCTTGTGAGAGAGACTAAGAAAAGCATTATTCAAGATCAGGTGAAGACACTTGATCCATATATTTTCTGGATATACTAAAAAATGATCCTTGGATAAAATTAGCCCAGAACTCATTCATTGAACAAATATTTACCAGAAATCTACTCTGAGTTAGGTACTGTTTCAGGCCCTGGAAATAAGACAGTGAAAAGCAAACACAAATTTGTATATATACTCCCAGAATTCTGAAAAATTAAATATTTATCTCTGAACCTCTTAAAGGATTTGCTTTAACCTTTTAATCACCTTGAAAAAACAACAACAAAGAGGATCTTTTTATTTTTTAAGATGAACAAAGTAAATAGTGAAAAATCTTGGAATAACTGAATATATTTTCTTTGAGAAAATGGCCCAGAGTTTCCACTCAGATAACTTTAAATAACAAACATATGCCAGACAACTATGAGACAGAATTCTTACTCAGTTATTTTAAACTGCTGAAGCAAAAACAAATCAAAGTCAGCACATGTGAACTCCAAATAGAAGGAAATAAGAAACCACTTGAACAAAGCTTTTCAGGCAACAAGGAACCATAGGTGCAGGTGAAGCAAGGGGAGGCCAGGAAGCTGCTCCTAGGTCCCTCCTTTCCCTCCGGACAGGCCCTGCCCCAGAGAACATGCGAAGGCCTCGACAGTGTGTGTGGTTACCCCCCCTTCCACAGAAGGAGGGGTCCTGATCGTGAAACACCCCTACTCTACACTCAACAGATACTTACAGAGCTTATGTGACACTTCTCAGAAAGACAGTCCATGGGTTACTTGTTTGCAAACAAAAGCCACCCCGGAGAACCAGGTATATCCCATGAGAATCATTCCATAAATATAGTCTTCCCATAGAAGTAGGATATTGATTAGCATGTTTAAAAGAAGAGTTCACAGGATCATCTCCTTTCTTCCCCAGGGTGTTTACCAAATGCCCCCACAGGTAAGGATTTAGCACATGCATATGAGGGGAAACAGGTTACAATACATGTGCTGCTGGTTGGAGGACTTGCATTTCTGGCTGAGAGACAAAGCTACAAAGACACACAGCAAGGTTGAGAGTAACATAAGAGTTGGGCAAGGACTCAAGGTTTACCTAACGCACTTCTGAACTGACATAAATTCATGATGAAGAAAGCATATTGTTCTGGGAATTAAATAAAAAAGCAAAAAAAAACCCTTAAAGACATAGCCAAAAAAACACCTGAAACTTTGGCATCATTTCTTTTCCAAAGACAAGTTTTTAAAACATAAATATCAGTCATGAACTGATTTTTTAAAAATTCATTAACCCTCTTGAATGTTTCCAAAATCTTTCACACACACAAAGTTTCTTCTGTTTTTAAATTTTTAATCTCTATGTCTACTGGATCCTTCCCCTTAAACGTTTGTTCTTAAAATACACTATGCATAGGGCTCATCTGGTGTTGCTGGTTAGAAATAGTTGAGTCCTGGATCATACCCTCAGGGTTTTAGGTCACAACTGAGGGCCAGTGTTCTGTCTTTATAAGCATTCCAAGGGATTCTGATACAGGCAGGTTCCTTATCTCTAGTGTTCTTGAAACAACCCACTTTAACCTGGCTACCTCCACATTCCAATTACTCATTTACTATCCAATCCTTCAGAATCTGGTTTTCATCTCCTCACTATTCAAGCAGACCCATTAAGGATCTGCAAAAGAAGCTTAGTTGATAATCAAGGAACATATACATTAGAGTCATAAATAAGACAGATCAGATTCCTGTTTGCACAAAGCTTATATTTTAATGAGATAAACAGAGCAATATATATACATGTATACATGTGTGTGTATATATAAAACAACAAAAATAATGAAGAAAGCCATGATGAAAATATGATACAGATTGTACAGGCAAGTCTAATCTAACAGCGTGGCTGGCAAAGGTCTCACTAAAGATGGAACATTAAAGATGAGGCTGAAAGAACAAGAAAAGAGCAGACTTGCTAACATCAAGAAGAGGGGATTCTGGCCAAAGAGAACAGTTAAGAGTGCAGAGGTCCTGAGGTGGGAGCCCAGGTGGATATTTGGGGAACACACACCTCAGAATGTCTAGAGACGAGCATCTGAGCAGATGTGACAGGAGATGGTGTTGAGGTGGGAACAACGGCCCAGATCTGAGATGACAGGGTGAGGAATCTGGATTGACTCTGGTGTGAGGGGAAGCAGTTCGGGACATTACACGGGGGAGGTCGAGTCTGACGGACCCTCTGAGATCATTCTGGCTGCTCTGTGGAGAGGGAGCACTGGACCAGGAGCACCCGTTAGGAACCGCCTGAGCTATGCGGGCGAGATCACTGGACCAGAGTACGAAGAGGACGGACTCTGTGCTTTTGGAAGCTCTCCTTTCCGAGGTTTCCAAGATCATCACCAGCTCTCCTGTTCTCCTATGTCTGCCCGTCCCTCCAATGATACTCCTACTAAATTAATGATGGCAAATCTCACAGAAGTTATATGACTTTTTAATTTGTATTATTTGATTTAAACTTTCACATTCATCCTATGATCTCAGCAGCATTGCTAGATTGTAAACAATTACCTTTTAGATTGTAAACATGAAGAAATGTATCCTTAAATAGAGGACGCAATGCTAAATAAAACAGAACTAACACTGTTGAATTCAGGTCTCCTAACATCACATCTCTGCTGCTCTAAACAGTGGCTCCTGTACTCTGGCTCCTCGCCCCTCTCCCTGTGCTCTGAGCAAATGCAGTTGCTTGCCCAGGGTCTTCCTTCCTGGCTCTGGTCTCTCCCTTCATCACCTTCCCTGTCATCTACTAGGGATGCTCCCACCCCTCTGTGTTTCCAAAGGCTTACAACGTCACCCCAGGGAATGTGGTATTCACATAGAAAACTCAATACTCCCAAATTAAACTACTTTTTCCCCCCAAGTCACTCCCTCCCTTGTGTTCCTTGTGTATTATTGGCATCACCATCTTCAAAAGCTTGGTTTCACGTTTGATTCTATTTTTCTCCCCAAAACCCCATACTAAGTTATTGTCAAGTCCCAATGGTTCCACTGTTGTAGCATCTCACACCCAGCACTAGGTTCCTCCTTCAGGTTTAGACTCTCCTTAACCCCCATCTGAACGAGAAATAACACAGAGATCCTTTTCTTCCTGCAGTCTCACTTTCTAATGACTCCTCATCTTACATGTAACAGTGTATCACGGTAAAATATGCCCACAAGCTTCCTAAGAGCATTCAAAATCCTCTATGATCCAGCCCTAGTCTTCCTGAAGCTTCCCCTATCGCTTCTCCACTCCAGAGAAATGAACTTCTATCCATTTCCTAACTATACTATACTCCTTCCAGCACTGAAGATTTAATCCATACTGCTCTCTCTCTCTCAAGCTGCAGCCCTCCAAATTCACATGCCGAATCCCCCCTATGTAGTCCCCTAATAAGACCACAGAGACCCTTAGGGACAGGCCATAGACTAATTCACCCTGGAACCTTCTGTAGGAACTAGGACAGAGCATCATTCATGAAGAAGGGGCTAAGCAAACACATACTGAATGAATAAATGAGTGAATTCATAGAAAATTATGAAGTCTATAATAGAAATATTTTATTTGTCAGGGCATAAGGCTACAGAATGTTACTTTTAGAAAAGTTAGTAAAGATAACAGTCACATCAATAACAATAGTTAAATGGAAAAGATTTATGTCACCACATGTCCTAATAAAAAGCTATTATTTAAAGAATTGTAATGGTATCTGGAAAGAAATCCATTCCTACTCACCTGCTGCTGGAATCTCACCATATTCATCAACTGCTGAGCTCCAGGTGATAACTTTGACCCCATGGACTCCATGATGGTTTGGACCCTCTCCAGGTCTATCTTTGATCCTAGAGCAGGAGAGCCTGCTGAAGAATGTGCCGAGACTGGCCTCACGTGTACCACAACTTTACTGATGAACACACAGTTCTTTTCACCAAAGGAGAGCAGCTATTATAACACAGAAGACCAGGAAAATTAATAGTAATAAAAAAAACCCATTATTTAAGGTCATTTCTTATTACTACTGAAGTAAGAAAGAAGCATTCAAGAATCTAAAAATTAAATTCAAGTGTATCTTTAAGTTGTCTCTAGAACAGTCAAAGCCAAGAAAAGATTCAAAAGAACAAGGAAAATGTAAAAAGTCCTTTTTAAGTAAAAGATTACATACAAATGTTTTATTTAATAATGTTTTCTTGTTTAAGGAACTAAAGATAAACTGTATCAATCTGAGATCTTACCGTCCTGAAACATGCTATATCATTTAATACAAAAGAAGACTGTCCAGGATCCCAGGCAAAATGTTTGTGAAGTGCTAAATATAACTCAGTATTTTAGAATTAAAACCACAAGGAATATTAAGACAAACTTAGAGATCTCAACAATTTACACATGAAAAACAAGTTCATGGTGATTTTTCTAATTTGTCAAGAGAGTAAATAAAGGTCAATCTTTGAGCCTAGCTCTTCTGGATTCTGTCTCAGGAGCTTTTCAGGGCTGTGTCCTGCCTCATCTTGTATATGCTTCTAAACCAAGATGTTTCCTGTGTGCTGTAGGACTGCAAAGTAGCAAAGTGGAAAGCAAACATGATTTAGAATCAGACAGACCTGAGTTCAGTGAGGGCTGTGCCTGGGTGACCCTTGGCAGATGCCAAGCTTGAGTTAGGGGTAAAATCAGTTCACATGGTTGTTATAAGGATTGTGCGTTAAAATGTCCAGTATATATCACTGAGTGAGTGCTCAAAGATACGCATCAGTAACTACCACTTAACTTTCATAAACTATTGAAGGTAGTATTGGCCCAGAGGAGGCCTTCATACAAACCCAAAGATGTTCCTAAATGAAACTCTCTGCACTCCCTGGTACTTCCACAGCACAATTACAAACCCCATTCATCTTCAAAGCAAACCCATACATCACACAAAGACACAGGTGAATAGAGGTCCATGATCTAAAAACTCAGTGTGGCACCAAAGATGTGACTGTCATCAGCAAGCACCTCACGAAATGTATACACCCACACTCCAACATGCATATTATGCCTTTCAATCCCCAAGCCTTTCTCACCAGTGAATGTTGTGCCTATTTTGCACACTTAATCTACCTGTCTTGCCACTATAATATGAGAAACATTCCAGTTTATTTTAAAACTGCCATTTCCTAAATGCCTAGTACAGCAGCCGCTATCTATAAGCACTCTAATATGTGCTGGATGAATGCATCACTTTATTAAAATGACTTTAGAAGCCATTAGTGTATACACCTAAACAACATCTTGAGATAGTTCTGTGCTCCTCTGTAAGTAATAATCAGCACAGAATTTTAGAGACAAAAATAATCCAAAAATTTTCTTTAGTTCTCTATTATTACCCACAAAGTAGGTCCCAAAAGATGAAGGAACTTGCCCAAGGTTACTTTTTAGTCAGCAGTGAGTACTGAGTACTCACTTAGTACTCAGGGCTTACGATTTCCAGCTCAGTACTCTTCCTCTAGATCTGATGACATCAGTAAAGTTTACCTTAATAAAATTTCTCATGCTGACAACACCAGTCTAAACTCCTTTAACTTTAGGATGCTCTTGTCTGAAACTTCTCTAATTGTGTCCAGCACTGTTCTACTAACAAAAGTACATTGGCATGACCATAGGAAATAAATGATCAAATTTTAAAAGAAGAATGTTGATAATTATTTTAGAAAAGAATTTCTTTTTACATTTTTCCTAAGTATTTTTGAAATAAAACCAGGGACCACGTTGGACTAACTGCATTACCAATTTATGGAAATAAATATATCTATATATTAGGAAAGCAACTGTAGTTTTAAATTAGTGAAAATTTAGGAATGACTTACCTTTATTTTACAAGCATGTGTGGAAGACTCCAATTTTAGATATTTTTTGTATAAAGTAATCTTTTCATGTTCACTAAAAATAGAAAAGAACTGATTTACTAAAAATTTCATACATTATCACTAAGAAGAGTTATATTTAAAGATAAAGGTTACCAGGACAATATTTTAGTCCTGAGATTCAGTTTTCCTGGTGAGGCATGAACAGTAGAGCCTTCCTACTGAATAGCACTAGATATGAAGACAATATCTGCCATTTACTAATTATAGGAGAAAATTAAATTATATATCCAAAGTATACTCTGTAGCACTGGCATATTTTAAAGCTCGACAACGTATCTGTCATGCACAACATACATAGTACATAAAGCAGCTCATACTTTGATTTATATTAAAGAATGATTAGAACAGAATCTTCATAAGAAATTGGGGGGAAAAAAATAAAAAAGTCTAATAATGGGTTAAGCTTGCCAGGATGGCACAGTCTTGAGCTCATGCTCTATTTGGTAACGGCATCCTACAAGAAAATGTTCAAAGTTCCAGGCTGACTGACAAAGTGATTTTTGGAAAACAGATTCCTTGTGAGTTAGAGAAAACAAATAAGAAACTTATCAGAACTTCATTTTCATCAAGCGTTTCCCCAAACTAGCTATGATCTTTTACCGACTTCTCTACCTTCCATTAGCTCTCCATTTCCACATTCATACTCCCAACTAGGCTGATCTACACTGTCCTTAAGAAAACAAATGTGAAACACTTAGCAGAGTTTCATGCTAATAAAACTCTTCCACTAACTAGCTATGATATTTTACCAACTTCTCTCTCTTCCATTTGCTCTCCATTTCCACATTTATAAAAACAATCAGGCTGCTCTAGATTGTCTTTAAGATCCCTAAAGGCCTAAACTTCTACCTCTGCTGGTATGTTTTTATCTTCTCTCTTCTAGTGTTTAGCACCAATGTCAGAGAATCAACAAATACTGCAAAAGCTCAAAAAACTAAAACACTTCAGAAGAACACTTGCACATGCAGAAGTCACACACCTGTTATCCAGACCATTACAAACATTCTTGCCCCTACTGGTTCCACAGTACTCCTCTCCTAAGTATACTTCCATATTTCTTGCTGAGCTTAAAATGCCAATAGAAACGATTTCTTCACCTCCATGAGGGTCACATCGCAGGTGAAGGAAGCAGGGGTTTTCATCTTGGCTGTTCAGGTTCCTTTGCAAAATCACCAGGTCCTGGCTGAAAAGAAAATGCATATTATGTAGTATTATAGTGCTTTCCTGGTGGCTCAGATGGTAAAAAATCTGCCTGCAACACAGGCAACCTAGATTCGATCCTTGGGTTGAGAAGATCCCCTGGAGAAGGGAATGGCAACCCACTCCAGTATCTTTGCCTGGAAAATCCCATGGACAGGGGAGCCTGGTGGGCTACAGTCCATGGAGTGAAAAAGAGTCAGACACAATTGACTGACTAACACACACACACACACACCTCTGAATATTCATTGGAAGGACTGATGCTGAAGTTGAAGCTCCAATACTTTGGGCACCTCATGCGAAGAGCTGATTCATTAGAAAAGACCCTGATGATGGAAAGACTGAAGGCAGGAGAAGGGGATGACAAAAACTGAGATGGTTGGGTGGTATCACTGACTCAATGGACATGAGTTTGAGCAAGCTCCAGCAGATGGTGATGGACAGAGAAGCCTGCCCTGCTGCTGTCCATGGAGTTGCAAAGAGTCGGACACAACTGAGCGACTGAACAACATGCAGTTATTAGTGTTCCCTGTCATTAACAGAACACTGTCATTAACCCCCTTAATGGGCCACAGGGGTTGACATGTTATCCAATTAATTGACATTTGCCTTTGGAGTCCAAGCACCCTGCAAAGCACTGATCAAATAAATGCTCAATACAGAAATCATGAGGAAATGATGCTTTAGACTCAGGGCTCTCCACTCTATTTTCCCCTGGACTTCTATCTACACTGTAGGTGACTTCCTGAAAACTGCCTGACCAGTTAAAGAAATGTATTTACTGGTCAGCTACTGCGAACTAAAAACCGTTCACAAGTGGGGGGTTGGGGGCAGATGCAGAATAAAGGGAAAAAGTGTGCCATTTTCAAAATTAAACTGATGAAGATTTTTCAACATTTGGATTTTTTTCAAAGGCTTATTTTAGTCCACGGGCTTCCCAGCTGGCTCAGCGATAAAGCATCCTTTGCAAATGCAGGAGACAATGGGAGACGCGGGTTCGATCCCTGGATGGCTGAAGATCCCCTGAAGGAGGAGACGGCAGCCCACTCCAGTATTCTAAACTGGGCAATCCCTCGGACAGAGGAGCCTGGTGGGCTATAGTCCATAGGGTCGCGGGTCGCCAAGAGTCAAGACACGACTGAAGAAGGAATTCCATCACCTCCACTAGCTTTGTTTCTAGTGATGCTTCCTCAAGCCCAACTGACTTCACTCCAGGATATCTGGCTCTAGGTGAATGATCACATCATCGTGGTTATCTGGGTCATGAAGATCTTTTTTGTATAGGTCTTCTGTGTATTCTTGCCACCTCTTCTTAATACCTTCTGCTTCTGTTAGGTCCATACTGTTCCTGTCCTTTATTGTGCCCATCTTTGTATGAACTGTTCCCTTGGTATATCTAATTTTGTTGAAGAGATCTCGTTTTCCCCATTCTATTGTTTTCTTCTATTTCTTTGTATTGATCACTTAGGAAGGCTTTCTTGTCTCTCCTTGCTATTCTTTGAAACTCTGCCTTCAGATGAATATATCTTTCCTTTTCTCCTTTGCCTTTAGCTTCTCTTCTTTTCTCAGCTATTTGTAAGGCCTCCTCAGACAGCCAGTGACTTTGGCCTTAGAGAAATAGCAGGTAGTGGGGATGACAGTGCCTCTTTGAACCTGGTCCAAAGAGGAAAGTCCCTCGCAAGGTAAGTGTGGGGACGACCATGCATGCATTGGTCGACAGGTTTTTGTTTCAGGATAAGAGGCCGGTTCTGATCCCGACAAGGGGCCTCAAGAGCCGAGGAGATGGGACTCAAGGCGGGTGTGTGTAAAACGCTGTCTCCCGCTCACCTGCCCCCCCGTTCCCAACATTCACACCCGAGTCCCCTCAGCTTTCCCGCGGACGACCCTCTGTCCTCCCGACACTCGGGCCCGGCCGTCTCGCCTTCGCCGCCCGCACAGCCCCGTCACCCGCTCGGCTCCCGCATTTCGGGCGCAGACCCTCTCCCCTCAGGGTCCCCGCCTCCCCTCGCGGCTCCCCCAGGAGCGCGGCTGTGTCCCCGAGCACAACCCAGTCCCCGCCGGCCCAGCGCACCCTGCGGCGGGCGACGCCAGCAGCTCCTCCCAGTCGGCATCCCGGGCGCCAAGACCATCCCGGGTGAGATGGAGAGCCTGGGCCAAGGCTCCGCACGCGGCATCCCAGGAAGAGGCCAGGGTCGGGCAGCGGCTCAGCAGCCCGTGTACGGTCTCGGTCTCCATTCGGCCACCTAGGGACCAAGCCGGCTCCAGAACCTCTCTTTATAACTCTTTAATTAGACCGAGGGAAGGTGAAGCAACAGGGCAACTTCCGGCTCGGCCCGCCGCAAACCTGAGAGCGGCCGCTCGTCCCGGTTGTCTGGAGACCAGCTACCGCAGACACGCATGCGCGCGCCGGCCGGATTTGGCAGCGGGGTTCAATAGCTCTGGTCCGCGGTGGGGTGGCGCGCAGGGAAGCTCCAGGTTAGAGCATGCGCGCTGACAACACGTTGGCCACACTCTAGGCTAAGCGCACGCGCAGTGCGGTGGTCACGCACCCCCACCCCGCCCCCCTTCTGCACTCGAGGCCCCTGGAAGAGCGATCAGGAAGCATTGAGTCTGTGGTGGAGTAAAATCTGAGCTGAACCTGATGGGCCTTTAAGCTTTGCCCAGAAAAGTGGGAGTGGAAGAAACTTTCTAGATACTCTCGGGGTAGGAAGGTATATGGTCCTTCCCCACGACCACCACCCATCCTCTTCATGAAGCCCATAGAGATGAGTTTTCCATGTTCTGAAAGGAAAAAGGGAATCAGAATAAAAAAGTGGAATGTCAGAGTTTGAAAGGTCTTGCTTCTTGTTCTAATACATTAACTTTCATTGACAGTAACATGTTTGAACAGTCCAAATAAACTCTTCTTCAGAAACATCAGTCTGCACTTGAAAGAGTGGGGTCAACACTATCATTGGACTTCAGAGTTCCTGAACAAGGCTGAATGACCAGGAGTCAGGAAACTAGACTTCTATGGTCTCTCCTTTCTCTTGCACAGTCAGTGAAGTCACCAGATCTGGGTTTTCTGAAATAAAATCTATTATATCTTTCTTCATCTCTGCTTCTTTTTTGAAGCACTAACTTTCGTCTGAACAATTCCAGGAGCTTCTTTCCTGTCCTTAGCCTTCATTCCCAGTCACTTCCATTCCACCCTCTGCCCTGCCCTCTGCTGCTGCTTCTGGTGCTTGATGCTCTTGACTGAGTACAGCCTTTTGTACTCTGACTCCTGCCTGCCTCCCTGCCCTCCCTCCTACCTCAACCTTTGCAAAAGCGGTTCCCTCTTCCTGGAAAGCCTGTTATTTTGGAGCAGAGAAAATCCTGTTCATCCATCATTCAAAACCAGGCAGATCTCCACCCTATGACAGAATTAAACTCATTCCTCCATACGACTCTTATGCTTTTTAGGTATCCCAAAGAAAATCCAAAACTGGAGGTTATGTTTATTAAAAGTCCTCCCAGGGATATTTTGTTCCATTATGTTGCAGGTTCAGTTCAGTTCAGTTCAGTTGCTCAGTCCTGTCTGACTCTTTGCAACCCCATGAATTGCAGCACGCCAGGCCTCCCTGTCCATCACCAACTCCCGGAGTTTACTCAAACTCATGTCCATTGAGTCAGTGATGCCACCCAACCATCTCATCCTCTGTTGTCCCCTTCTCCTCCTGCCCCCTATCCCTCCTAGCACCAGGGTCTTTTCCAATGAGTCAACTCTTCATATGAGGTGGCCAAAGTATTGGAGTTTCAGCTTCAGCGTCAGTCCTTCCAAAGAACACCCAGGACTGATCTCCTTCAGGATGGACTGGTTGGATCTCCTTGCAGTCCAAGGGACTCTCAAGAGTCTTCTCCAACACCACAGTTCCAAAGCATCGATTTTTCGGCTCTCAGCTTTCTTCACAGTCCAACTCTCACATCCATACATGATCACTGGAAAAATCATAGCCTTGACTAGACGGACCTTTGTTGGCAAAGTAATGTCTCTACTTTTTAATATGCTATCTAGGTTGGTCATANGGATGTCTGGCTCTAGGTGAGTGATCACACCATCGTGATTATCTGGGTCATGAAGATCTTTTTTGTATAGTTCTTCTGTGTATTCTTGCCGCCTCTTCTTAATATCTTCTGCTTCTGTTAGGTCCATATGGTTTTTGTCCTTTATTGTGCCCATCTTTGCATAAAATGTTCCCTTGGTATACCTAATTTTCTTAAAAAGATCTCTAGTCTTTCCCATTTTTTTAAAATCTATTTCTTTGCATTTGTTACTAAAGAAGGCTTTCTTATTCTCTTTGCTATCTTTGGAACTGTGCATTCATATGGGTAGATCTTTCCTTTTCTCTTTTGCCTTTGGCTTCTCTTCTTTTCACAGCTATTTGTAAGGCCTCCTCAGACAACCATTTTGCCTTTTTGCCTTTGTTTTTCTTAGGGATGGTCTTGATCACTGCTTTCTGTACAATGTCATGAACCTCTGTCCAGAATTCTTCAGGTACTCCATCAGATCTAATCCCTTGAATCTAGTTGTCACTTCCACTGTATAATCATAAGGGATTTGATTTAGGTCATACCTGAATGGTCTTTTGGGCTCCCCTACTTTCTTCAATTTAAGTCTGAATTTGGCAATAAGGAGTTCATGAACTGAGCCACAGTCAGCTCTATAGAGTACAGAATAAACATCTTAGTTAATCTCAGCAACTACAGGTGAGATTTTGGAGAGGTTATGAACAATGCTGTGCTGTCCAGGTTGTGTTTGAGTTAAGGTAAAGTAGTTCAAAGTCTTTTTAAGTGAAAATCTGTTTGTGAATAGAAAGGGGTTCCAGAAGGCTTAGCTCTAGGAATTAGAAAGAAAGTAAAGAAAGAAGCCAAAGAGGCTAAAGTTTTTCCACAGACAAAAAGCTGGCTGAGGACATTGTGGCCAAAGACTGTGGGGTTCTGCTTCATTTCAGGGAGAGACAAATAGGTAGAGTACAGAGGATTTTTAGGGGAGTGAAACGATTCTGTTTAACACTATAATGGTAGGTACATGTCATTATACATTTGCCAAAACTCATGGAATGTATAAGATCAAGACTAAACCGGTAAACTATGGGTGATAATGTGTGCTGTGCTGTGCTTAGTTGCTCAGTCATGTCCAACTCTTTGCAACTCCATGGACTGCAGCTGGTCCAGCTCCACTGTCCATGGCAATTCCCCAGGCAAGAGTACTCCAGTGGGTTGCCATGCTGTCCTTCAGGGTATCTTCCCAACCCAGGGATCAAACTCAGGCCTCCTGCATTGCAGGCTGATTCTTTACCAGCTGAGCTACCAGGGAAGCCCAAGAATACTGGAGCGGGGAGCCTGTCCCTTCTTCCCGACCCAGGAATCCAACCAGAGTCTCCTGCATTGCAGGCTGATTCTTTACCAGCTGAGCTACCAGGGAAGCCTGATAATGATGTGTAGGTTCATCAATTCATAACAAATGTACCATCCAGGATGTTGATAGTCAAAGAGACGTGGGTCAGGGTGGGCAGAGGTGTATGTGCACTCTCCACTTTCTTTTCAATTTTGCTGTGAACCTAAAACTGCTTTTTAAAAAGTAAGCAAGCAAAACTAACCATGTTTAAACAAGAAAAAAAAAAAGGTTGCTTAGGAAAGGGAGAGGAAATGAGTGTGAGCGTGGATGAGGAATAAAAAAACAATAATAAAGGAGAGGGATCTTGCACTGGGCCTATGACAATGAACTGTCATGAAATCAATGTTTAACTCAGTGGTCACCCTAAACCCAAGAGAAATGAGATTGATGTATGTGCACCTGCTCTGTAATCACAAATATATCAGATACAACACCGGGTTATTGATTATATTTTGTCCCTCATTCTCATTCACTTGTTCACCACATTTTGAACATACCTCCTTATGACGCACAAGTAACCTCATAAAATAAGCTAAAAGCTAGAATCTCAATGCAATTATACTACCTCACACTCCCCACAGAGGGAATCCGTTTATATTTCCCCACATCTTAGCACTTCTTTTTTTAACATTAAAAGAAAAAAAAAAGTGTGCTCTGCATGAATGCACAGAACTTGGAAGTGTAAGGAGGAATGTGCCTTTCTTGCCTTCATTTCCGGACACTTGCTGCCGGCTGGTGGCGTTACCGCGCAATAACTAATATTTTTTGCCTTTCCACCTGTCACCTGGAAGGAACAGCGGAGCAGTTGTCAGAGTCAGCTTCAGCTCGATGGTTCTTTTTTTTTAACTGCCTAGCCCCGCAGCTTCAGGGATTTCAATAGTTCCCCGACCAGGGATTGAATCTTGCCCTCCGCGGTGACAGCGTTGAGTCCTAGCTGGACTGGATCCCAGGGAATTCCTACTTTTCTGACCTTTTAGGAAACGCATCCCCGTGAACTTGCCAGCCTAAGGGACTCGACTCACAGTCAGTTCAGCACTAGCGCTTCAAGGGTCAAAGGGGACTATCTCGGAGACGACTGAGACCAGGCAGGCCTTTTTGATCCGAAGACTCGCTCAGTCCTCTCTTGCGCCCCCAGGAGGTGCAACACGGCGGTGGGAGGACTGCGCATGCGCGGTTTGACGGGCATTGCGCAGTCAACGCTTCCGGTGGCCTCGGGTCTCCCGCTACAACGTGAAGATGGGGGAGGACGTCAGAGGAGCGCACAGCGAAGGGCCACAGAAGCTAGTCCTCTGCGTCCTCTGCGGCCTGCCAGCGGCAGGAAAGTCAACTTTCGCGCTCACCCTCAGACACCGGCTACGGCAGGAGCTGGGCTGGGCGGTGGGCGTCGTCGCCTATGATGACGTCATACCGGAAGCGGGCCTTGAGGCAAGCGCACGCCCACTGGTCAGTACGGAGGGGGCGGGGCCTAGGTCGGAGTTCAGTTCAGTTCAGTTCCGCTCAGTTGCTCGGTGTTGTTCGACTCTTTGTGATCCCTTGGGCTACAGCCCGCCAGACCTCCCTCCGGAGTTTACTCAGGCTCACGTCCATTAAGTCGGTGATGCCATCCACCATCTCATCCTCTGTCTTCCCCTTCTCCTCCCGCCTTCAATAGCCAAGGGAAATATATTATTGGAGGAGACCCTGATGCTGGGAAAGATTGGGGGCAGTAGAAGAAGGGGACGACAGAGGATGAGATGGTTGGATGGCACCATAGGTGTGCTGGATAATGCATGGTGTGGGAGAAGGATCCCTGATGGAGGAGAGACGGGGGTTCGAGGAAAGTGAGCTGGTTTACACAGAATAAGTTGACTATGAATATGACAGGAACAAACAGCCACCAGTATAGGGTTAGATTCTGAAGTCAGGGTGC